AAAATTATGATTGGTTGAATGCGGTTTGCACGGTTTGTACAAATTGAGTGGTTTGCATTTGATCGCTCCCCTATATATATATATATATATATATATATATATATATATATATATATATATATATATATATATATATCCAAATTCTCATTTTACATACTTAAATAAGAGATCGATGGTTATTGGTAGTTTGACGGTTATAACCATTAACGGCGAAGGTTAAAGAGAAGTTACAACTGAATATGATTTCTGAAACCAGCAAGTCAGCTTCGTCACTGAGCACACGTTTAGCGTTAGGCCCATTCAGCAATAAGTTGAAACTCACGTTTAGTGATAGATGAAGACCTTCAACGATCGCTGAAGACCCACATTAGCTATGGCTTGGTGATAGCAGAATACACACACAACTTACTGAAATTTCAGTCTTTAGAACTTTAGATTCGAAGAGGCTCAGTCTTTACCCGCTGATTGATCAACGGGACCACCGCCAAGGAGCTATGTTGCCCCTAGGACTTTGAAGGGGGCGCGCCCCTCTTGACCAACTTTTTATAAATAATATTTTAATTTTAATTTTATATTTAAAAAAACTTTCTTATGGAGTATTTAGTTTTTTTAATCATCCAAAAACATAGGAAAAATTACACAAAAGTCCAACTTTCTTGTTGGAAAATACTAAAATAACACGTTAATATCTAACGATGATGACCAACTTTCTAGACATTCCTCAGTTTTAGAGAAAAAAAAAAAATATATATATATATATATATATATATATATATATATATATATTAAAGAACCAAAATTATAAAACGAATATTTTACAAGACTTTGGATTTTTGTTTTTTTATAAGTTTTAATTTTCTTGATTCAAAGTCATTCAATTGAATTGAAAATTTCATCTTATTAACTTGATTTTGATGTATAATTTTATTGATATTTTTTTCTATGAAACAACACCGTATGAACACTACATGTTCATATATGTTGTTTCATTTATGAAGCAACACATACAAATTGGTTTTCACAGTTTCTAACTTTTAGACAGTTTTTATATGCAGATACTTCTAGGAAACAACACATACAGTGGAATTCAAATCTTTCACATATGCCAAGGTATAAAATCTCACATTGATTGGAGAAGGAAACAAAGGTTGTCTTGTAAGGACTTGATACCTTCTCTATCAAACGCATTTTAAAACTAAGTCCAGGTGTATAGATAAAGCGAACAATACCTGGTGCAGTTAGACTGGGATATTACACAAAGAATGATCAAATCTCTCAACTGTGAAATTTTGTTGAACCCAATCAATTCATTCCACAAACCAAACATCATCGAGGAATCTGATCAAAGAAATTTTATCATTCCAATTCCATCAAATTCCTATCAATTCTTACTAACACCTAAGCAAAACTTAGTAATCATATATATTCACTAATAATGTGCATGGGAATGTTTTGTAACAAAGCAAGACCAGCACTAGTTCCTTTTTCATATCCAATGCAGAAATAACTATATTATCTGACAAAAAGGTTATATTACTAGCAAACCCCGACCGGCCCTAACAGAACCCACCCCTTAAGAACCATATGTGAGGAGGCATTTCAGAGCTGACTCAACGATTGAGGCTAGCAAATAGGTTCAAGCCCGTCTCCAGCAAGATTCGAACTTGAACCTGTTGTGTATTTGAATAAAGTCGCTCCATCCTTTTGTCCACTTAGCTACACGTCCGAGGGCCGGAAACAAGTAAATTTTATTGTGAAGAAACTAACAGAATAACGAAATATGGATGGATAAGCCGTTAATTACAGTTTCATGCCAAAATAATAAGAATAATGTACAACAATAAATAGTACAGGAATGTATACATCAGCTGATGCTCAAAAGAACACAACTCATGCTTCCTAATGTTTTGATTCAGTTCCTGGTGAAAAACAAAATTTAACATAAAAACCCAAGTACCTCCAACCACTTCTCTTTGAGATGTCAACCATGCAGTTTGTCCTGCATATTACACAAATAACAGCACAAGTCAATTACTTCTGCTGTCAAAAGTTTTCGAATCGAAATTTTTGATTAACAAATTCAATACAATCGATAGTAGGAAAAAGATTACATCAAAAGCAATTTATACTCGTGTTACCGGAGGCAGACCTAGAATTTTTTTTTAAGTGGTGGCATATTTTGACTAATAAAAAATATCTAAATTTTTTTCTCATGATATTAGTATAGATCTGAGGTTGGTTCCTTGTCCTTACATAGAAAAGACCCATGCTAAAGTTCGGGTTACATATACTTTTAAAACATAAGAACACCAAAATTTAAGATAAAACAACAAATTTGACAACTATGGGACTCGAAACTGGTCTTTTGTACAAAAGCAGGAGCATTTATGCCATCTTAGCCATTAAAGTCTTGTGTTAACATTTCAGTTTCAAAAACTATATGGTGGCACCCAACAAAACATTACGATGGCACCCTTCAGAAACGTAATTTTTCTCCCTTACCACGGAACCATGAAGGGGTCGCCCGTGCCACCCTATCTATCCATGCGGGTTCGCCCCTGGTGTTTTTTTATCAAATTACTTTTTGATATCAAATTGTCTTGGAATTTTGTGGTTATGGAGGGATATTTTGCTTATTTGACTTATTTTTTACTCGTCCAACTTAGGGAATAGGGATGTGCCTTTGGTATCATATTTTGGCACCCCTATGAATTCTATTGTGCATGTCCCTTCTAAGAAGTCCCCCATTCTTTTGCAAAAATTGAAGCAAATCCCAAAATATAAACAACTTTTGCTAAGAGAGTTAAGGAAGATATGAAACCTGCAGCATTTGCATCAACTTTGGGTGCTGCTCCAGAAGCTGGACGAGTTTGTCCCGATCACCTAATAGATCCTACAAATAAGGCACATGTTCCATTAAAAAGAGATGAAAGAGAGAGAGAGACGGGTAAAGAAATGTTGCATATGGATAAGAGTGATAACCATCAGATTTGGCTCTTTTGGAAATTAACCTCATTCTTGCAAGAATGAGGGTTGTTGGACAAACAATGGAAATGTACATGCAAATGCAAATGCAAAATGATATTATACATTTCTACTTAATATTATTTGTACAAATTGCTTCTTCTTCCAAAAACTGAGTTTTCTCAATATTTTTTGAAAGAACAGATGGGTTGCTTGTAGCGAAAAAGCAGGTATGATGGTTCAAAAAGACAATCAATTTGTAATTAAATTATGTTAAAGGGTTGTTTAAAACGAAAAAGATTAAATAATATTAGAGGTGTTTGAATAAAAAGAATACCTGAATAGCCTCGGGGGAACTGAAAACGTGCTGTAGTGACAATGCACTAGCATCTTGCTGTTGATGGTTACTACTACTACTCCCTTGTTGATGCTGGACTTGTGGTTGGGGATCCAATCGATGTTGCTGTTGTTGCTGTTGCTGTTGCTGTTGCTGAGTATGTGGAAAGTTCTCTTGTTGCATTGTTTGATAATATACATGAGCCGGAGAACCTAGAGCTGGTTGAACCATCTGCAATTGCTGTACTTGCATCTGAACAGAAGAAGGCATGCCTTGCTCCGACTGTGTTGAAGCCGGAATCGGTGGCCTAAGATGCTGCGGTGGCTGGGGTGGCCGAGGGAGTTGGGGAGGCTGCAATGGCTGCAACTGAGTAAGAGGCTGTATGGAAGATAAAGCAATGGGAAAACTTTGTGAAAGATTAGAATGGTTTTCTCCCTGATTTGAGGGTGGATTAGTTCCATAAAGGTTAAAAGGAATCCCAGGCCTGTTAAAAAGCATCGGAGGCATCAATGGAGGTGGAGGATAAGAAGTAAGAAGTGCTCCAGATCCAGAAAGATTTGTCATGTTTGAAGGGGCAAAACCCTGCATCAAATCAGAAGATCCAATATTTGACTGACTATATGCTGACGATGGAGGTGTAGATGTTCGTAAAGATGATAAAGAAGCTGCTGCGGTATAAGGAGGTGGGGTAGGAGGAAGAGGAGGTTGAGGCCTCACAGACCCACCAGAAGAAGGGAGGGACGCCCTTGCATATTCAGAGTGAACCTGCTAATAACATATAATAAGTTATCAAATGAAAGATTTCGTGTAAATTATAGTTATGAACAAGATATGATAGAACCGTTTGATCTTCCTTACATGAAAGCCAGGGGGCAGTGGGGGCTGCACATCACGCATGGAGTTCTGGAAATGAGTCGACTGATTTGAATCCAGAGTTTTAGGATGTACGGGTGAGATGGTAGGTGGTGGGGGCATTGGAGGAAGAGGAGGTTGGGTCAACGGGAATTTTTGCTCATAAAATTCTTTAGAAGCAGCAGATAAAGATGCATTGCCAGCTTGGCCAAGACTGGTATTAGAACACAAAATAGGAGGCATCCTGCTATCAGCTAAACCTTGTGTCGATGATTTAGAGTTCTTAATGTTAGCTGAAGATGAAAAGCCAGAAGATTTCTCCATTTTAGCAGAGCTTAACGCACCGGAGGTCATCTGACCGTTTCTTGAATCCTCAGGCTCAAAATACTTTTTCTCTGAAGAAATACTTGGTTCACGAGTTAAAGACTTTTCTGGACGTGACACCGATATCCGCGATGAAAAATCGCTCTGATTACTTTCATCAAAATTTGATGCCAAAGGTGTACCCAAATGAGAAAGGTGACTGCTTTCATTGACATCGCTTTCAGTTTCTTCAACAATCGAATGAGGAGAATTTTGCTCATCAATGACAGATGCAGGTTGCTGTAAATTATCATCTGGCTGAGGAAACGGCAGTCCGTCATCAGATTCTGACTCTTCACCACCGAAGACTATATTGAGTCCCTGGAGATCGTCATCCAGATCCGGTCTCAACTGCGTAGATTTATTCATCTTTTCTGCATCTGGGTCATTTTCAGGAGGTGCGTTTTTCACTTGCATACTGCCCGCCATTCCTGCAGGATTCTGCCGCTCCCTTTCTCGAGCCATAAATTCATCGACATGAATAGAAGGTGGTCTCCCACTACTAGAGCCTATACGTGGAACTGCAATTACATTAGAACTAGTAGTACCATCAACATTTCTCTCTCTAGCAACATAGTCATCGACATGCATAGAAGGAGGCCTGCTAGTGTTGGGTTTCCGGAGCCTAAAGGTGTCCCTACGAGTAGGGCCCGAAGGAGCAGCAAACTGTCCAGAACCCCGAGAAAATGCACTTTGGCTCATATTCTCAGCAGGGGAGTTATCTACCCTGGGGCGCCTGCTTGCCCCCGCTTCCAGTGGGGTAAGTTTCCTTCTAAGAGATTGACCAGTCTGAGAGAACCTATCTCGCAAATTTTCAGGGCACTCCCACATAAACTTATCCGCATAGCTGTCTAAATTGTAATGTTCAACCCTGTCAATGCTAAAATTTGAAATCTTTTGTATCTTTGAAGGGCCTTGAAGTTCACTTGACAATGACTGAAAAATACTAGAAACAACGTCATCTGATTCACTTGGCCTTTGAAGCAAAAGCAACAGCGAGTTTGCATGTTCTTTAACCTGTATAACGATAATCATGCAATTTTCTATCATCTGAACCAATCTTTGTTCTTGCTGATGAGAAAAATGAGAAGACGATAAAATATACAGACCTGACGCGAAGTTGCATGTTCGTCATTGTTCAGCAAGGATGTCAACTTAAGCATGTACTTGATGTTATCCTCAGATGAGTTATCTGCACCACTTACACCACAAGGAATTCCAAAGAGGTATTTCACTGCATCAACCATCTTTAGGTTCAAGCTGCAAAAGGAGAGACATATTGTAAACATATTGAGAATAAAACATTTACTTGAAAAGATGATGATCCATGCTTAACTAACAAAAACAGAGGAGGAAAGAATCAAATGGTATAGCTCTCTCTAAGATGGAGATGAATTGTCATAAAAGGGTCAAGAAACAATATATATCTCATATTCTAGATATATTTTGACAAACTATATGTATTTCAGCTGACCCATGTTGCATAAAAGATAGGTAACAGCTTAGGTGCATCTCCACAAGAGGAAGATAATCCTATCTACTTAACTTGGCATAAGATTTCTTCAGTTTGATCGTTGGTTTAACCAATTATAGGTTGCATAAAATGAAGTCAAAATGCAGTATTGAATTTCTCTGATGAATAGTAAGTACCATTTAAGTTGCATGTTTTGAAAGATAACTGACCTCTTATCCATGCAAAAGCTTAAAGCTCCTGATGAAAGTGCCTCAACAGCCTCAATGGCAGATACTGATGGAACATCCTCCATTTCAATATAGTTCAATAAGGTTCTCCAGCAGAATAACAGAGGATTATTGTTCAATTCAAGAAGATCAAACTTCCCATCAATTACTTGTCTGCTCTCAGGTTCAGATTCTTCACCATACGATGATTGAACATGCAAGAAAACAGAGAGCAAGCCACTTCGACCTTCAGACGAGGAACCTAAATCTTTGAAGGCCAGAAGACAAGCAACTAACTCTCTTCCAACAGGTAGAACCTGTAAATTGAGAAGGGTTCAAAAGATGAAAGTCGTGTATGAAAATTAACCTTGCCAACAATATAATAAAAACATCAAAAAGAAGCACATCCTAGTATGCATCAAATAAATTGCTGATGCAGCATTCAAAAAAACTCTTCATGAAGCAGCCAAACGCAGTCTAAAAAAGGTACGCTCATTCTTATATCTTAGCTTCACTGGAACACATGTGAAATCAATAACAATCAAACAAAGAGAAGTCCCAACTTCTTAGAATCAAAGTGTCAGACTTGCTATCTAATGATTCCCTAATAGAAACCAGACAAAAACAACTTAAATTTGATGGCCTAGCACAGGCTCTGCCATTGCAGGGTCTGTAACCTGAACCTAATTTGGTTGAACAAGAGTTCCTATACCGAAATTTTCCGCCCCCGCAATGGCTGTGGGACCGGTGTGGTGGGGATACTCGGAGGGTGCCATATACCAAAAAAGAAGTTCCTATGCTGCTTTCATGGAGCACTCATATAGCTGGTGTAAATGATCACACACTTTTCCATTAAGATGAATCTGGATGATTTGATGTGAAAAAGATGCCTATTTTTCCCAAAAAGACAGCTGCGAAGTATAGTTAAGTAAATTGGAAAATGTATGAAGCAAATTGAAGGAAAAAACGTATAGGTGCTGAACATATAATTCAGCAACAATGAAAATTATATAAAATAAATACTGATTGATGTTAAAGAGCATGAGGCGCCAAGCACTATAGATTTTTGCAGTCATAAGATCTATTTGGCATAAACAATGTGTATATGTTACTCCAAAGATGGTCCAGATTCATCAGTTCGTTATGCAACCACCAAGAGAACCCAAGTTTGGACCTTACAATCCGCCCATCGTAAAAGCTTTCGTTGATGAAAGTAAACAATGAAGAGACAATAGCTAGAAAGCAGGCATGCCAGGCAGTGGTTTATGTGTGTTTTGTGCACGTGGAAGAAATCTTTCTTATCAACAATACTGCCCGTTTGTGCAGGCAAGCTGTGCTCCCACAAATGGCAAATAGAAGGATTCAAAAAACAACTAAATTAAACAGTCGATATGGTCTTCCCAGAGTCCACTTTGTTCCCACTGAGTGTGACTCGGAGGCATGTCCACACCTTGTTCCCTTGATGAAACTGATATCCAATAATCAGAAACCAAATAGAATTAAGTCTACAGACTAACGTCTCGACCTTCCTATGACTTGTTCCCATGAGCCATATAAGACCAAACATTCAAAGATCGACCACCTCTTAAAGGAAACAAGTGCAGAAGAATTCTAATTCCCATGAGAGCACTAAGGTCAAATATTGAATAATCAAATGCTACCACCAAAGAAAGCAGGTGTAGAGGAATACCAACCACCCAAAACATATTATACGAGTAATTCTTCACTTGCAGTTGTTCCTTTTTATTGTTTATTGCTTTTATTGTGTTCAAGCTATAGTTAGATGGTTCTCTCCTATTTTTCTTTGGGGGATTTAAATGTTACAATTCCTGTTTTATCCCAGAAATAAAATACAAACAAGACCGCCGATGTACCTTGATAAGCCTGAGAAGATGGAATAAAAGCAATGAACAATCCTCCTTAGTCAATATCTTTGCGTTGTGCCTAACAATATATATTAAAAGAATAATTATTCTCCATTGATATAGTTAGGCAAAAATATTACCCAAAAAAAGATATTCCAACAAAATGACTTTGATGCTCACCTATCAAGCCCAGAAGGTGAAAAATACGTCCTAGACTCAGATATTAGGGAAATGGACCTAGATGCAGGGATGCACCAACTAAGTTGAGGAAGTTTGGTAGAGCTCCTGTTCTCCAGCAATTGCTTGGCATCTGAGTTAAAGACATCAGCAGAACTTTTGAGCACTTTAGATATCATCTGTATAGCCCCTTCACTCAACAGTATAGGCTGTAAAAGAAATGGTCCATTATCATAAAATAATAAATAAAGATATGTTGCTAATTCATTATGAGGACGACTTTTAAAGCAACTTCATAAATTAAATAAAAACCTTCGCACATGGATGCTCAAGTAAGCTAGCAAGAAAATCAAGCAATCTGCAAACCTGAAACAAACAATCAAACCTCTCAAAACAACGCACAGATCTAGTCCACAAGATCGAAGGATTTTAACCGCTATAATAGTATTACTTTATAAGCATCTGTATCAGTTAATGTAGATGACTCCGCTAGCCATTCATCGATCCAGAGTATCATGGGCCGCAAGAGTATGGCAGCACTATCAGCATGTACACAAGCCATACGTATAATAAAAATCCGCAACATGTCTTGTATAACAACCAATGCCTGTTAAATGAGGTGTTAGCATCATGTGAAACTCATGAAACAATACACTAAGAAAATATCGGCATGCCTGTATAGTTTTTAAGACTTTCAGACACTAACCAAAGAAGAAAGGGTGCAATATATGACTTCCCATGTGAAGGAAGAGTTAAAAGCAAAAAGGAAAAAAGACTTGACAGATCCAATGTATCAAAGGAGAAATCACATACACTAATAGCACAATGTAAAACGATCTCCGCAATCTTGTGAAGCATTGGTGTCAACTGCCCAATGAGCTTCTCCTTGTGTCCAGCCTGTAAGTACCAGTTGATCTCTCTCTCCTTCTCAGGGCCTAATAGCGTTCCAACAGCCAACTGACGGAAGGTACTCAACATGGGCATTCCATTCTTCCAAAGTGAGGCGCCTTCATCAGGTAAAAGATCGTTCTAGCAGTGAAATGAACAAAGAAAACGTTACTCTTATTTACCCAAAATACAAAATAGAAGTTAACAATTGAACATACGATGATTCTTCAACTATGGTTATAGTTATAGTGTTCTCAGTAAATCTGGAAGAGAAGGCCACTTACCAATAGAAAAAGCAAACTGCAAGTTTCCTTTGGACCCATTGCCAACAATGAAGTAGCATGAAGACTGTCGAGAAGAAAATGAAAAAGAGTAGGAGTCCAACCATATACAGGCCAACAAGCAAGTGCGGAGGCAAGAAGATGGCATACAGCTTCAAATCGAAGTGCAAGATCAGGATAGGGGTAAGATAAATCAACTGCACAGGCGGCTAACTTGGGGCTGCAAAAGAATAACATGAGAAACTACACTCTACAATATAATCTCTGCTTTTCAAATATTGAATATCTCAAACTACCTCAGTTCTCGATGCAAATGTAGAAGAGCCTTCACGAGCTTTTTGTTTCTGTGTTGCTCCTTTGCCTCCTACAGAGAGAAAACTACAACTTAAGCACGGCGTTTGCAGTGAACTTTTCTCAAGCTGACAGACAACAGTAAGTTCTGAACAGCTATCCCAGGTAATAGCTGTAAAGAGAAGCTTATGTTGCATTGCCTTCTTTTGCACGTTTACTAAAAACCAGTTAGCCAAATGACAACTGTCCTATGATACCAGTACCAAGGAACGAGAAAATTATTCGATTGGGTAGATATACCTTTAACTTGTGCAACAGATTTATCAGCAGCGATAGACAAGGAACTAATAGGTCAACTACACTCTGCTCGCGATTACGTTCAAGCAATATATCCGAAGTAGTATTGCATTCTGTACCCTCATCGACAAGGTAATCTGCACGGAACAACAGAACATGTTGTAGGTTTTTTATACACAAAACATGACCAAAGTTTTCCATTAGAAACAGAACATTAGTAGCTATTTCAATAAAGAGAAGATTCTCAATTATAGACTAGAAAAAATGATTATAAAGTATCTAAAGCTAAAATACTTCCATCTCTAACCCTAAATTTGGTGCTGATTGAAGTAATAAGTATTCCTTTACTACATTAACTGACATCCATGACTTGGTGCACAGTGAAAATTGACATCATATAACCTGAAGAAACCAATGTGCCTACCAATACAGTAGGTGAAATTCCAAGCAGCCAATAGGATGCAACTCAAAGAAACAACCAGCAAATCCTCCAAAGTGGGGCTTGTGTTAAAGGCCTCTTCGCCTTTCTTGCACATGTGCAAGCACATAGGTCCACATTTCTTCCCCTCCCCCTTTCATCGGTTAAATTAAGATTTTATTTGGAAAGCCAAATGACATCAGGTCATTTAGCAAAATTCTCAAAGATGACTCAAATACAAATTCATTGCACGTTCAAAATTTCCCATACTAACCATAGTTGTTTGAGGACTTCTCAAGCATCAGCTTGCAATTGATAACAACTGCATGAATAACCATTACAGCACCTTCATCATATAAAGCACCGGCAACAACCTTCATCAACCAAATGCTTGTTAGCATGGTTGTTTTTGTATCATAAAAGTGTAATTATGCAAAATAGAAAAATAAGAAAATAAATTAGCAATCATGCACCGAATTATCTGAGATGAAGTTCAAGATCCGGAAAGTTGTCATCAGCTGAGCCACAGAGGAATCGCGAAGAGTAAAACCAAGAAACCTTGACTCAGTAATAGGTTTCCCTAATAGATTATCAATCACGTTTCCATCATAACTTCCAGAAACATCGCCAACAACATTATCAACGTCCATTTCATCACAGGCTAGAATGTTTGTCGCTGCCATGTGTGCATCTCCTCCAGAAGCTAACACTGCAGCATACCGCAGAAGGCCAATAGCCCCGTTCTTATGATAAACCACACCACCGTCTATCAATTCCAAAAGCCTAGTAGGAGCATCTTTTCTGTTGGACCCAGGAGAGGAAGAATGCAAGGCCTTGTGAAGTTCCTTGGCATGTTCAATCCAGGAGCTCAGAGATGATGCCGTGGAATCAAGAACAATGACTTCAAAAATCTCAACAGCAGAGTGAAAGATGGCAAGATTCAGTGGTGAATTTCCTGCAGGTGACAAATATTGTTGAGCAACTATCAATATGAAGAACTAGCAAACAAGTACAAGGAGTATTTCCAAAAGTGCCACAAAGGAACTACCGCTATTCACAGAAACTGGTTCCAATTCTTTGACAGAATGCAATGCAGCAATCAAAACTGAGATAGCCTGAAAACATAAATAAAGAGCGGTCATCATGAATGCTTGAAGATTGTAGTACCACATAATTCAAAAGATAAAAACGAAGTTGAAAAGAAACATTAAGAAATATTTAGTTTTCAACCAAGGAAATGCCAAAATAAGGTAGGTAGGATAGCAGTTATTAAAGCAATAAAAGAAAGCACATGCATGTTGATGTTAAGCTCACGAAATTACACAACTATAACATCAACAATGGGGTCACCTCTGGAAAATGTCCTATAGCCAACAAAGCCTGGCGCCCACAATCAGACCTGCAAATCATTTTGAAATGCATTAACCACTTATGTTTCGTGTAGGAAGTTTAATATCATGCAAAGGGATTAACCAGTCGCACCTGGAAAGACAGCAAAGCTCCCATAAACCCCATAGAAGTTCTTCAGAATGCTGTTGTGATGTAATCAGACGATCTATCACGTTCATCTGAAAGAAGAAGATAGGGGGAAAGATGCAAAAAAGGGGAAAGACAAGAAAATAGTTTTAAGGAAAAAGAAGAATCATTAGAACAAATAAAATAAAGAGGATACGATACTAACCACCCTCAAATGTGTCTTCATAACCATTCCAATTTCACGTGGACGACAAAAAAAGCCCTTGGATATCAAGACAGATGCATAACGAAGAGGAATGGACTCTTGCATCCTCAAATCAGATCCTCTTAGAGCAAGAATTACCGTCGTCGAAAGCTCAGGGTCAAGCAGAAGGAACATTAAGCCTGATCAAGCAACAATATAATGAGAATGTAGCACTAAGGGGGAAAAAACATGATATAGTAAGCATAAGGTATAATCTAACAAACCTGAGCGACAAAAAACAAGTGAAAGAATTATGGATGCAATGTATGATGTGATATCCATAAACAAATCCATAGCATGCCCCACTTCAGAGCGCAGTGTAGAAGATGATAGAAGTGCTGCAGACAGAGGAAGAAAACCCCTTTCCTGTGTGGCATGATTAATTTGAATAATCAATCGTCTGGAAATACAAGCAACGAACAAGAAAGCAGAAACAAGGACTTCCCAAATAAAAACATAAAAATAACAATGAAAAGGAATGTTTATATTTTAAAACTCTCAGGGAGTTTTGTCATGCTATATGATTAACCAACTATCGATTTTATTGAACTTGTAAGTAAAGGCAATGAGAGATATGACCAAATTTATTGCAGCAAAGTCGGGCATTATATGGTGGGAAATTAACAAGCAGGGCCAAATGTCTGTCTGTATACATACTTATGAACAAGATTGTGTTTGTGTGCGTGCACCAGAAATATCCCTCACCCCCGTTCTTAGTTTGAACAATTAGTATATAAGTGCAGGAACTTTCCTGTTATTTTCTTTTAAGTCATTAGCTGCTAAAAAAACCAGACTGTACTATGAAAAAAGAATCACATATAAAATGGAATATGGTTACTCCCGAAGTGATCTCTCCCCAGAACCTCTCTTAACTGTTTCTCATTCCGTCTACTATATCTAACATGTGTACACACCAATTAAGCAGAAACAAACATCATACCTTAAGAAGAAAAAGCAGGTGCGAGTCAATATCCTGATCTGAAAAGCGACAATTTGACAAAGTAATCAACCTGCTAGTAGCTTTGTATGACAAAAGACCATCCGTTTCACCAAAAATCAGTGATCTGCTTGTGCATGCGACTGGAGAAGGATCTTCAACTAGTGCCCTAGAAGTTATTAATTTCTGCAGCAACATTTGGTCAGAACATAACAAATAAACAACTGTGCCATGTAAGGTTAATTACAATGGATAACTAGTAACAACAATAAGCACTATTTGGCATGCTTTAGTTAGAAACCATATAAACGTTTTTTTAGTAGAGGGGGGAGGGAGTAGAGAGGAGACGCAACAAACAGTGGTAGAAGAAAAAAGAATAGCATAAAAACTCACAAGAAGCTTTTTGAGTTGGAGTTTAGCACTTGCAAGCATGTCCATAGTGATGGACACAACATTACCAACAGAAGAAAAACCTCCCAGCACACGTAGTACAGCAAACTGTATGCATGTCCAAATTAAGTGGCGTCAAATGCTTGCTAACAAATCTACAAGAACCGTCCAATGTCACACTATCTCGCAAAAAGATAAAAGAAGATAAATAAATAAACCTCATATCTTGAAGCAACTTCATAAAAACGCATCCGATGGAGAATGTAGGTGGCAAGAGAAGCAATGTCATGACGCTGTTTTTGCATTACCAACTTAAGTAATTGATTGTAACCTTCACTGATGCCAACAGGAATCTTATCATCTTCCCGAGGCCACCAACCTAGGAATCCTTCACACCCAATAGAATTCCTAGTGGCCTGCTCCACAACTCCAAGAAGCATTAGTGTAGCAGCACTAGAATGCTCATTTTTGCAAAAGATGTCACAAAGCTGCTTCATTCCCCCACCATTAACAAAGTTGAAGCAACTCTCTTTACAAGAACACAATAGAAGCGCAGCACTCAGCCATGCCATGAGAAGCTTGCTCTGAGAAACAAATCAGAACTTTACTGGATGAGTGCTAAAAGGTACTTAGAATAGAGTAGAAATGCATACATTAATTAGGAAAAACTAGAAGGGGAGAGAGTAAATAACCTGTGGAAGCTGAGCACGTACGAAACTTTCTGAATTACACAAAGTGTGATAGTGTTGCCTTAAAGTATCCACCAACTGTTTGGAAGTAACCAAATCACCCTCAGACTCAAGAAAAATGTTCTCTGTCAAACTTTCAGGCAATGAATTTTCTGTGGTAGTCTGAAGGCTGCTAAATATATCAAGGAGATCTTTTCTGACTTGACTAAGGTCACGATAAGATTCTCCACGATCAACCAATCCACCCTCTGTAAGTTGTTCATGGCTTGCAGATGCACATTGCAAGCTTTGAGTTGAATATGTGGTTGCCGTAGTTACAAGAGAATTAACAACTGTATTCAAAGCATCTCCTGCATTTGGCATCTCTAATATTTTAAAAGATAGCTGTAGAACCTGCTTCATCTCAACTGATAAATCTGATGCAATGGGTAAAAGAGACAGTGACTTCAGAGGGTAAATGGGTTCCTCGATGGCCGACTTGACAGGATTTAGTGCAGTAGGGAGGTCTTCAAGGTTGCCCTCAACAATGGACACTGTGTTTGTCAAAGAGCTGTCTAGATCAACTTCTATGTTGAATTGCCCTAGATCTTCCCCAGTGTTTCCATATATGACCAAGCTAAGACTGCGGTAACTTCCCCTCACAACCAAATGACTTGTTACAAGTGCCTGAAATAATAAATGTATTTTTCTTATGAACTCAAGAAAATGGACCAGTTCCTTTAATATATACACGACATGAAGCACAATAAACATAACAGAAATAAATTGCCACCAGATCCACTGCATAAAAGAGACCAACAAGCACATGAGGAAGCAACTTTGGATCATCAAAAGCCTATTGGTTCCCATCATATGGATTCAATACACTTGCATATAAAACATTTAGAAAAATACAGCCCGGCCCTTCATTAACAAGTTGAAGACAATGAATATGCTAGAAGCTATATTATAGATAAGCAATAACAATGTAGCAAATTAAGCTTTGTATACATAAATATAATGTCTAAATGAACATGAATTTAGAAGTAGAGTCAGATGCTAGTATGTATTGCTTCAAGAAAGTCATCTCTGCTTTAATATCCTTTGTAGCTATTAAGCAAAAGTCTGAACAGCCAACAAGAACATCAAATAATATGTGGGCATAAAGGTTGCATTATGTTTCGTAATTTCTTCATATGAAGCACTTTGAAATTATTCTCAAGTTGAAATAAAAACTCCAAACAGAATCTGATGTTTCGATATATATATATATATATATATATATATATATATATAGAGAGAGAGAGAGAGAGACTCTATGCACAAACAGAACATATGAAAGATTAATTTTGGGGGTGAAAACCAAAAAGAAAAAGAGTCAGGGATAAAAGACGTGACTAATGTTGATGCACCAGCACAGATTCACATATATACACAAGACACAGAATGACAGAAGACAGAGAGTATCAAAATTTCAACAAGGGCATTTCAACAGGCATCAGCCAACTAAATATTTTAGGTTCCATCATCAAAAGAACTTATATTGAATACCTCAACTTCCAAGATATTTGAAGAAGAAGGAGAATACAGAAAAGGCTGACATAGCCGCCTAAACCTTGTCTCCCCTTCACAATGAACAAAAACCTCTAAAGCAAATGAAGGAGGTGAAGTGGCCCTGTACAGAAGCATAAAAGGGATCATAAGCAAAAAGGCGAAGAAAAATGAATGTAAGAACTAGTTTACAAGAATCTCAAAGCACCTCACAAGGGAATGATTTATTACAATTCAAAGGTTGAAACTAATCAACTTCTCCTAATGGCATAGGAGGGGAATAAAAATACATGTAAATCAAGGCAACAACTCATGGAACCTAATTTCACAATTGCATGCAGGATAAGCAGGAATATGAAGTTTCTTTTTGGATTGTTGGAAGAGACTAACAGAAAAGAAGTGATGTATAAATTGGCTCAAGTGTAAATATTCTATTAGGGCACAAATAAGTAGGTGGCTTTGATCCAGTGAAGAGTAGCTTTTAGTTCTACGTCCCTCTTAAAAACTAGGCCCTGGTGAAAACACAAACTTCTCCATTACTTACTCCCTTTGTCCTAGAAAAAAGTTCACGTAATGTTTTTTCATCCTAAAAAGTTCCATTTGAAAATTTAACATCAAGAAAAATGTGATATCTTTTAACAGATATAATTGCCTAAACATCAGGATTAGCTGAAGCATAACACAGCCTAGGTGGTTCATGAATAACGAGAGAAATATTAAAAAGGTAAGTCACATATGTTGCATATTGTACCCCATAAGTGTTACTGCTGGTGACAACGAGGAAGAGCTCTGCTCAAGGAACTCACAAGCGCTGACTATAACAGGTTCAGAAAATATCACCTGCAAAAAATTGAAACATTTGGTACAACTCTCTTTCAATAAAAAAAAAAACATATAAGTTTGACACTCATCTCAAATACTAATGGAAAACACATCCACACTCATCTCAAGTACTAATCTGAAACAACATCCTAGCTATTGATCTTTGAAGTCTCTTAAGATCCCAATCTTAACACTGAGATGTGATCAATAATGTGTCCCACTGACCTTGACAAACAAAGCCTTTGACCCTTAAATAATATATCGTTCCAGCAAAGGAGTTTGATCAGATTAAATAAGCAGATACTAATTGGATTCATTGGTATGATTCCTACCAAAATATTTGTGATCCTTTAATATTTAATTGGTCACTACATTAACATCATGGCAAATTGCAATTTCCAACTAATGTCCACCACCAATTTATCCATCCTCACCCAAGATACGGCTATCATGAGTCTGTTAAACACACCAAATGACTAAGCAAAAAAGCTTTGAGTTCACTACCACTATGCTATCATGAGCCTGTTATTGGTTAATGTCACTGCATTATGTTTGTAGTATGATAACGGGAATGTCCTTTTTCTTGGTAGTGAAATGAGTAGAACTGATAGGAGCTTCTAGATGGCATTGCCAACTAAACCAATGTTGATATATCATGAACCAGTAATTCTTAATACATATGCCAATTCAAAATAGTTTTGCTATTTGCTTTTGAAAGAGATGTGTGAGGCTACATTTTTCATATACGATATTTGTATTCTCATATTAGACTAAATCATTCATGATATAATAAATGATTTACATAACGAAATTTATGATAAAGCAAAGAATACAAAATCAAAACAAGTTAAGAAAGCCGAATGCTTGCCTATTAAATAAAAATAAGTAGGATTAGAATAACAAGATCCATACAGCCATACCTCATCAACATATTCATCAAGGTGCGCATGAGCAAATGTCTGCGCGAACAACACAGAAGGTTCGGGACGGCCCATTGAATATTACTGCATGGAGGTCCTCCCGCTGAATAATTCCTGCTTGTACGCACTCATAATACTCATGTGAGCAACATAAGAATCCAGCAGCAGTCTTAACTTAAGTGAAGGCTTTCTTAAAATCTATGGTGTTACAGCGGTCAGGACTGTGATTTCATATAGTGGTATCGCAATGTAAAGAGGTGATACAGCAGTTCAAATAATAATTAGAATTATAAATATACACACCCGCATAGTCGCATATCTATACACATACGTAAGGGGATAATCAAATGAGAACCACAAATAGGTTGAGAACCATGAGAACCAGTTCTCATATGTTGTTTCACATTTTGAAACAATGCATGTGACAATACAGTGTTGTTTCACAGTGGGATTATTTTTAATGCTTATTTTTAGTATTTTTCTGTTTCACATTGTAAAACAACAATGTACATTCACATACATTGTCTCACAATGTGATACAACACATGATCGATGGTTCTCACGGATTTCAACCTTTTTAAGTTCTCATTTGATTATGCCCATATACATGTGTATAAAAATGTGTGTATTTTGGCAGTCAAAAGTCAATCTAGTAGTGATTAAAATTGTATATTAATATTCATGCTTATGCAGCTAAATACATGCTCACAATTAAAAATAATAAATAAAGTCTAGTTTGACTTATAAAGTCAACAAACGAAACTTGAGCTTCCAGATTTTTAAGTTCATATTGATTTTTAAGTTGCAAATAGCCCTGGTAAAGTCTTAAACAGCAAAGCATTCTCTTATTTATAAAGAATAGTGTCAACACCGTCAAAACAAAACCATTTTGTTGGTACTCTTATAGTCTTATCCTGTAAGTTAAATAGGTGTGCCTTCATCTACTATAAACCACAAACAGGTTCCATCAAATAATGCAACGTGGAAGTGAAAACGTAACAAAATAAAGTATAATTGATCGCTTCCATGAAGAAAAACTCCAATTCCACTTTGGATGTCATATTATCAACTTCAAGGTTACATAGGATTCTAATGTTTTTAAGAACACTTGTTAAATACATCAAACAATATGACAACTACAACGTACAGGACAATGTCGATGTCAAATTTGCAAGATTATTGTTCTTGCAGAGTAACAGGTTTGACATCAAATATAGACATGGATTCTTTTCCGGAAAGAAAGGAGTAGCAGACCCACCTTCTAAGATATAATTCAATATCGACAAACCCTCAATGGTGACAAAGAAAGGAATTGCATTCAGATTGTGATCCTTCAAGTTAAAAGAAACTAACCCATTACAAATCAAGTAGAAACCAACTAATTCCATCATACCATGTTCAGTTGAAAATAATCAAAAACAATGATTCCGTATTAACTCGGAATAAAAAACAAGGGGCAAAGTGATTGGGTGGAATGGGGAAAATCTAACACATCAAAGTACAGTAAAAACAATCACAGTACATAGACGAATAACAATGGAATTGAATAAGGAAAGAAACAGCACCTGGTAGTTCTTGGTGAGCGATTCAAAATCGTTGAAGTTAAAAGGAGCGAGAAATTGGGTTGAGGGGGTGTGGCGCGCTCAAACTCGATTGAAAAACCCAGGTGCGCCCTAACTCCGTTTGGTTTTTGACGTTTTCCTCTTTCCTTTCTTACTCGGACACGGTTTCGATTTGATGATAGGGGCCCTTACGTCATTTTTCAACCCCATCCAGCCCTCCTCCTTACCTCTATTTTTAAATTTACATTTTATTCTACTATAATTAATTAATTAATTTATTGTATATCTCTTTCTTTTAAATTCTTTCATTTTATACATCTATTAAATTAACATACATAATCGTATATTAATTAAAATATGTTCATAAAATATATTTTTATTTTAATAAGTTACACTTTTATAATCGTCTCGTCGTTAATAAGAAGTTGTTAAAACGTCACATTGCAAATGTGGTTGCTAACCTTGTTTCGGTTATACACCAATCGTGAAAATGGAGAAAAAATTATCAACGTGTTTGATTGTTCTTCCGTCTTCCATGAGATATTGAAAGGGAGAGCACCGAAAGTATCCGTCAGTGGTAACCATTACAATTTAGGATATTATCTTACAGATGAGATATACCCTAATTGGGCTTAATCAGGCTACACTCCCATGTCAATTCCATTAAATCAGTCATTAAAATATCGACTATTTGCAAATAAACAATAGGTTGTCATAAAAGACGTAGATATGGCATTTGGGGTGCTGAAATCACGTTTCGCTATTATTTACGAGTCATCTCGTATGTGGTGCAAAAAGACAATTGCATAAATAATGCGAGTATGCACAATCATGCACAACACGATCGTTGAAGATGATATAGAAGATGATGTTAACTTTATTATAACCATGCCTCCATTATCTCATAACATACTCTATGAGTACGAAAACGATCTCCAAAATCACATACAACTACGTAATAAACCAACAAGTCATTATTTACAATTAGGTTTGGTTGACGAGACTTATGGGCCGTTTACCAAACACTTACCCCGTAAGTGCTCATTGGTAAAATTTAACACTATTGTTTACGTACCGGGTAGATTTTAGTCTACCAAAACGACATCCTATGCAACAATTTACCCGGTAAGCGCTTACCGTGGTAAAAGGCGTCGCCCTCACTTACGGGGTAAGATTCATGGTACTTGTCTCGCTCTTACCTGATAAGATTTTTGGTGCTTACCATATTTATCCGGTGAGGTAACATGACTTGGTAAGTACTTACTCGGGTAAGTGTTTGGTAAACGGCCCCTTAATAAAGATTCGGAGAAGAAGAAAACGACGATTAATGTAATGTTTTTACTTTGTATTTTAGTTTAACGTTTTAGCATATGGTAAACAATATATTTTTAAATTAATATTATAACATTTATTAAATCGCGTATGTTTTTTTTTTTTTGACAAGTAAAATACATGTAAATAAATTAAAATACATGAAAACATCAAAAAAAAATTATTGTTAATATACTATTTGTGTACCCGCGCAATGCGGTGGGAGCCGTGAATTTTAACGATTTTGAAGTTCAACTGGTTTTATAAAATGAGATTTAACGATGATATAGGTTACACATGGTTTTTACATATTAATACAATTTGAATAAATAAGAGTTATGGTTTCAATTACAGATTATCGATGAAAAAAATTGTATGACAGTTTAAAATCCAATATATTTAAACGACTCCACAAATGTGTTCGATTCACACCAAAAGCAAATAACCAAGAAACTTGAGTTTTAAGATAAACACTCAAAACCAATAAAGAAAACTATAAATTTAATAGATTATAAGCCATGAAAAAACCAAAAAATATGAGTTTTATAATGAAATTTCAACTGTACCCTATTTCTTGTTCATAAACTCGTATTAAGATTGAATTAATACATGTATATATATATATATATATATATATATATATATATATAAAACTCAATAACATATTAATTCAGAACATATTATATAATGCATTTTGGACAGCCTAAGCCTAACCCCAAAATATATAGTATATATATATATATATATAACTATAAAAGTATAAATCGTAAATATTAAAAATATTTTTTCACAGTATGTATAATATATAATAATATAATTAAGTCAAAAACTATTCAATATTGGACTCATTTCGAAGGTATTAAAGAGACGATTATAATAGTGTAACTTGTTAAAATAAAAATGTATTTTTTAAACATGTTTTAATTGGTATACGATTATGTATATTAATTCGATAAAGATTTAAAATGAAACATTTAAAAGTAAAGAACATAAAGTAAATTAATTAACTAATTATAGGGGTATAAAGTGTAAATTTAAAATTATAATTAAAAAAATCGGTTGTGAGAGAGTGAGTGTATGTGAGGAGAGGAGGGGTGAAAAAATGTATAAATGATATCTTGGTCATTTAGTATTTTAAGACTTTTGCTAAATTTGCTTTATAAGATAGTATAGATAATTTGATAAAGATTTAAAATGAAACATTTAAAAGTAAATGACGTAAAGTAAATTAATTAACTAATTATAGGGGTATAAAATGTAAATTTAAAATTATAATTAAAAAATCGGTTGTGAGATGGTGAGTATATGTGAGGGGGTGAGTGCATGTGAGAAAATAAGGAGGTGAAAAAGTGTATAAATGGTATATTGGTAATTTAGTATTTTAAGACTTTAAGAATTTTGCTAAATTTGCTTTATAAGATAGTATAGATTAAAATTATAATTTAAAAAAAATCGGTTGTGAAAGGATGAGTGTATGTGATGGGGTGAGTGCATGTGAGGAGAGAAGGAGGTGAAATAGTGTATAAAATGTATCTTAATCATTTAATATTATAAAACTTTAAAACTTTTGCTAAATTTGCTTTATAAAATAATATAGATAATCACAAACATTTATTCATTGAAAAAAGAACATTTCATATATTAAAATAAATATTTTTTAATTAATTTATCTTACTTTATAATAAATATTTAATTAATAAATAAATACTTTTCTCGCTGCCGCTGCTCTCTTCCCCTTCCCGTCGCCACTGCTGTCCCTTGCCCTCCTCTTCCGCCGTAGTCGCTGCTGCTCTCTTTCTCTTCCCGTCGCCGGCGCCGTTCATTCCCGTCTCCATCAGGTAACTTGCTATTGAATAATCATCAAATCTTCACTTCTGTTATACCTTCACTTTTTTTTTTTTGCAAAACACAGAGATTTATTTAGGGTTTTTTGATTCATTGGCCATTGTAAAATATCACACCTCACTTTGTTGCCTTACGTACATAATTCATTGTAAAAGATGAGTTTGTTTAAGGGCAAGTTTGAGCATACCAGATGAGTTAGAGAATATTATGCCCCTGAGGTTGGTATGGTTAGCATTTTATCATACAAGTTTTATTCAGTAGCATATGAAAACGTCATGTTTAAAATGAATATGTAATTCGACATGATAAAAGCTTACATAGGCATTGTCACAATCAAATTTTAATAGCAAAGAACTTTGAGCTTGATGACCAAAAAAGTGGCAGATCCTTCTTTTTTTGGTTGAACATTCACATACAGTGAATTATTTACAAACCATTACGATGGAAATCAGAATGGCATCCTAAGCCACACCAAATCCAACTAACCAGAACAACAAAACTATAGTAATAAATTACAGAGTAAGACAATCAGTATAACCATAAAATGTTAATGGGTCATCCTTTCTCCAATGCATAACAAGTGAATGAGTGACTAAATTTCCTGTTGTGGCTGCTTTACAATAAGGATCTTTTTTGTTATCACATATGTTAAAAAACACAACAGAAACTACCCATAATTTTTAACATTGTTATATACTTCTTCGTTTCAATTCTCTAAAATGTTTTTGACAGTGTCTCACATGTCACCCTTTTGATCTATCTTGATTTTCATGAGATTCATCGAGCAAAAAATTATTCTAAAAACAAATTAGGTCAACTATTTATCTTTCTACAACCTACAGTTTATTGCCATCAATATAAATGTTGTTGTTGGGAGTATAGCAACATTGGCCAATAGTTTATGAATGACTGGACCTTTGCTTTTAAACATGGAGTAACACATCTAATGATGAAAATTATATGGTTTTAATATTCTTGATCATCACTTGGTGATATGTTTGGAATAGCAAAGAGATATGTTACCGTATGTCGATGCACAATGAATTCTTCCTTTTATAAATTTGATTGTCTGTTTTATCTTTGAGTTCTTTGGATAATGCATATATGTTATGTTGTTAGTTTTGTCATATGATGGCTGCCATACTGTAATAAAAATACAGACTTAACATATAAGTAGTGGAACAAACACAACAAATCCTCTTATATTTGTGGAAGCTTTAGAGAAGATGATTGAGGTTCCAACTCAACAAATGATGCTCTGTTCATAAGTTATCAATTCTCTTTCTGTTCTGTTGAAGCTTCTAATTTATTGCATCAACATATTATTGTTTGTTGATTTTGTTTTGGGTATCTGTGTATCATTATTCATCCACTTCCTTTTGATTTATATATGTCTGATGGCCAGATAATGTAAATACTACATTCAAACAGGAAATGCTCACTTCAACTTTTGAAAACAAATATGTTAGTTACAAATGCATTTACTTATGTTTTTATGCTTGTTCTTTGAATTTTGCGTATAGATGCAAATACTTCTTGGTTTCCTGATGTATACCACTTGGCTACTGAAATTGGATGAATTAGAACCCTTTTGCCGATACTTCTTGGTTACCTGACTTATTGTTTCTGGATAGCAGAATTGATCATATCAGTTAGGAGTTATGCTATTGAGAGTGTAGCAGAACCCTTTCCAACCTTTGTCTCCACAACCTTTGTTACAACATCTTTGAGTTTTTTTTTTAGAGATTTAAAGTAACATTGGTGTTTATTTTGTGTTGTAATGTGTGTATCACTTTTAGGATTTTACTGGTGTTGCTAGTTGTGGTAGATAGCGATATTGTTAGCAGGTGTTTGGTTAGAGGTATTAAGTAGTAATCAATGGGAATGAAAATAAAAGAAACTGTTTGGTTTTACGTAATATAATGGGCCAATTCCCCACAAGCCTAAATTACCATTCCAGGTTAAACTGGGGGAATGAAAATTTATTCCCATTTTCATTCACTGTCATTTTCATTCCTTGGCCTAAACCAAACAACCCCTAATAATATCTCTATATACCCCAGCTATCGACACCAGTAAAATCCTGAAAAATAAACACACATTACAACACAATTTCTTTAATATATTAATAGAATGAATGGGTTAAAGGTCGTCATGTAAAATTGAGCCAACAAATTGAAAATAGATACAACACGCCTTATACTATATTCATATATGGATAAGTATTTCAGCTGAGGTCAATAGAAGTATTCAACTAAGAGCAATGGAGTTTATGGATAGCTATTTTTCTTTCACTATAACACTCAAACAGGCACAATTCACATATCAACCAAACAAACAAAAATTGAAACCAGAACATAACAAGCCAATCTAGGGGGCTATTCTTTTGTAAACCTCGAAAATTTTAGATGGTGTACCAGAGGATGGTGTAATTTATCAGATGGCTATGCAAGTATATGGTTCACTGATGTCCTCCTAATGCCATCTGCTTGTAAAATCTTTATCTTAGTTTCATAGGCCACATCTTTGTTTATTGGTAAGTGATGCAAGAGTTATCGAAAAACTGAATGAAGTACAAAGCATGATTGGGGGATAAACATGGACTTGAAAAAACTAGGTATGAAGTGTCATCATCAATACAAATATATTTCTTGAATTTGGATTGTAAGAAGTTGCTGAAAAAAGAATGGATGGCATCGCCTTACAATAGGGAATACGATTGAAAAATTAGATGATAGTGGAGTTATTTATGGGAATTGACCACATCGAACATGTTATGTGTAGTGACACTACTCGACTTTACTTGAGTTTTGTTTACCATCCTTTTTGTTTTTATAAGATTACGTTTCAATGTGTACATAGACTCTTAACAAGCGTTGATTCATAAGGAAATATGTTTTTCATAGCCATAGCATTTCTTTTTCTACCCATTTTCACACTCTACATAAGATGGAACCAACTATTGATTTTTATTTTATAAGAACGTATTTATAATTTGCATTTTTGCTTGCATTTATTTGAATTTTACATCCTGCCACATTGCCAGGTACAAAATTAGTTTCTACAAAGAAAAAAGTTATATATATCTGCTACATGACAACATCCGAGTTCTTTTCCAAGGAGGAATAAAAATCCCCTTGTGGCCACGGAGGTTCAAATGCGGTGACTCCAGGCTATCTGCAAAGCAGGTGGTCGTCCTGGGATTAATCGGCTTGCATAGCGGGTTGGATATCCAGGTTAATCAAAAACATCCGAGTTCTGAATAATTTGACCTCCTTTTATGCAACGACTTCTGGACAGTACGGTCGTTAGTCCTGGCTCCGCCTTTTTTCAGCTGCTTCGAAAGTGTTTGAAGGTTAATTCACTTGAATCAATCAAGTCGCTTCATGGACTCGTTAGTACATTGGGATCAAGCTTACCACAAATCCATTTTTTTCAAAACAACCTTATTTCTGTTTATGCTACGCTGGGTTACATATATTTTTCCCGCAAGGTGTTTGATCAAATGCCTCATAAAAATGTTGTATCTTACAATACTATGATTGGTGCTTATAGTCGTGATGGAAATCAAGAGGAAGCTTGTAATTTGTTTTATGTGATGAGGAATCTTGGGTTCTTTCCTACTCAGTTCACATATGCTAGTCTTTTCTCATGCGGTTCATTGGGCGTTGAACAAGGATTTTGTTTGCAAGCAGCGGCCATGAAGAGTGGTTTGCTTTTTGCTGATGCTTTTGTGGGAACTGCTTTGCTGGGTTTGTTTGGGAGGCAAGGTTGCATTGATGAAGCACTCTGTGTTTTTGAAGACATGCCCTTCAAGAATCTAGTGACATGGAATGCAATGATATCTTTGGTTGGATGTCACGGATCTGCAGATGAATGTATGATGATGTTTTGTCAGCTTATGAGGACTCAAATGACCTTGTCTGAACCTTCCTTTGTGGGTGTTTTATCTGGGTTTCAATCAGAGGAAGACCTAGAATCAGGTGAACAACTACATGGGGTTGTTATTAAGTTTGGATTGGTATGTAAAGTTGCAGTTGCCAACTCTCTTATTAACATGTATGGCAAGTGTGCAGGCACATGCATAGCAGAGAAAATGTTTAAGATGGTACCAAACAGAGACGTGCTGTCATGGAATACGATTATCGGGGTGCTGGCCAAAGGGGAAGAACCGCTAAAAGCAATAGAGTTCTTCTGCAAGATGTACATAGATGGGTTTCTCCCAAACCAGATCACGTTTCTGAGTGCTATCACCTCGTGTACAAAGTCAATCAACCTAATTTATGGAGAACTTATCCATGCTAAGATTATTAAGAACCAATTTGAAAACGATGTTCTTGTAGGCAGTTCATTAGTTAATTTATATGCTAAATGTGACAGATTAGATTGTGCTCATCGCTGTTTTGATGAAATACTTGAGAAGAATTTGATTTCCTGGAACGCTTTGCTACTTGGATATTCCAGTAGAGGCTGTTCAACTTCTTTTTGGCTACTGCGGGAAATGATACAGTTGGGTATTTCTCCAAATGAAGTTTCATTCTCTAGTGTTATAAAGTCACTTTTAGCATTGGAACTGAAGGAAGTTCATTCTTTGGTTGTAAAAATGGGCTATCATTTGAATGAGTATGTAACTAGTGCACTCATGACCTCATATGCCAAAAATGGTTTGGCCGCTGATGCATTAAGTTTATTTGAAGATGGTAAAATGCCACATTCTGTTGTTCACTCAAATGTCATTGCTGGGCTGTATAATAGAAGTGGCCAGTACCTTAAAACTCAGGAACTCTTCTGTGAAGTAGCGGATCCTGATATTGTATCATGGAATATTCTGATTGCAGCGTGTTCCCGTAATGGAGACTACAAGGAAGCTTTTGAACTTTTCCAACAAATGCGGATGAAGAGAATCCTACCTGATAATTATACATATGTTAGCCTGTTAAGCATTTGCACCAAACTATGTAACCTTGCTTTAGGCAGTTCTCTTCATGGCCTTATGACAAAAGCTGATTTCAACTGCTGTGACATAATGGTCTGCAATGTAATGATAGATATGTATGGAAAATGTGGGAGTCTGCAGAGTTCAGTTTTGATGTTCAATGAAATGATGGAGCAAAATGTTATATCATGGACAACTCTGGTTTCAGCCCTTGGCCTACATGGACATGCAAAAGAGGCACTAGAAAGGTTCAAACAAATGGAGATGATTGGTATTGAACCTGACAAGATTGCTTTTATAGCTGTTCTTTCAGCATGCAGACATGCTGGATTAGTAAAAGAAGGGATGGAATTGTTTGAAAAAATGAAAGAAAAATATGGAATTGAACCAGAAATGGAACTTTATCTTCTTGTTGTGGACTTGATGGCTAGATATGGCAACCTAAAGGAAGCAGAACAGTTGATTTCAGGGATGCCTTTTCCACCAAATGCCAGCATATGGCGTAGCTTTCTTGACGGTTGCAATAGACAAAGAACCGCAGAACATCTCTCCCTCCAATTCCAGGCTTGTTAATCACAGGTATTCTGAATTTTTAATTATAGAGAACCATATTTAAGCATTTGTCTTTAGAAATACATAGCATTACAATTGTCACACCTTGGGTCTATAAGGTGATGGTTATTAACATCAACAATGTATGCATGCCGTTCATTTGAAATATTACAGATAGGAAATATTTCTTAGTTGGACCCCAAGATATTTCTCACGGCTTGTGCATATACTTGATCATGACCTCCACAACTTGCATTCAACCATTCATTGTACACCTTTCAATCTCTTCATGGCTTTATCTGTCTGGATAATCATACACAAAAACAACAATCTTAAACGGGTGATCTTTACATTCTTGCAAAAAGACACAAAACTTAAAATGTAAACAAATCTTTTGCAGGGTTATTTCAGGTTTTTCTAGGAATTTGGAATCTTAAATTTTGAGAAACAACCAATTAAGCTAACTAAAAGATTGTGCAGCTTGTTAAATGTTGGCTTTCTTTTTTCTCACAGGGGCTTATTTTTCGATGTCTTTGGAATGATATATATGTTCATTTTCTTGCCCTTCAGACCAACTCTTGCATTCATTTGACGAGTAAATTTGGATCAAATTTATGTGTTTAAGTTGGTGATTATAACGAGACTAATAGAGGCTTTGCATAGGATTCAAAGTATGTCCAATCTGACCATTATAAAGAATTATCCTTTAAGCATCAGTTTTTGAAATATTAAGATTATCATCAGTAGTCCAACTTCATCGGACATCTTGAAAAATACCCAAATGCATAAGTTATACATATAATTATATGTTTTATATTTGCCGATCATTTAGTTATCCTTATATCTCCAAGTATCCCATACACATATGGCACGGACATACAATTTAAGCAGTGGTTTTTGTTTTGGATTTTTTTGACCCATTATTTCATGTCAATTTGAACCCTTTGCATATTAGGAGTTTCACAATTATATAATGAGTTTATTTCTTACACTTGTTTGCAGTGTGAATGGGTGTTCGATCACTCAACTGAAAGCATTGTACAAGATATCGAGAATATGGTTCGCTCCTATATTCAAAAGGTATAATACTTTAGCGGTCGTTGGTGTGAAATGGAGCATATCATAAATGAGCGCCATCGAGTAGAGGTACGGTTCGTGAAGTGACAATTAGTATTTGGTTAGATGTGTGTATTTTTTTTTTTTCGTAGATTATGTTTTTTTGTACTTCCTTAAGTTAGTATTTGGTTGTTGCTGCTTCGAACTCGTTTTGTTGTGTAAAGTTTTTCCCCAGAATTTTCTCCCTTTTTATTGGGCAGAAATGGAAGTAAATCCATTTTTTTTTATTCTTCCTACTAATTTCATACATTTTTTCACAAGATAAGGATAGGGTTAGGTTCACATATGTATACAATGGCCATTCATCCTAACGGCATGCACATGTACATGAAAACTAGTAAACAACTTCAGTTGTTTGTATGTACATGTGTATTATGCTCAGATGAAAGGTTATCAGGATGTTCCTCGTTTTTTGGAGGTTGTTTCTTAAACCTCCCTCTACAAGGATATTCATATAAACAGTTGTTGTAGTTCTTAAAGTAGATGACAAATATGCGTACATTTGACATCATATCCCAACATTTGGCGGAATATATTGGATCTTTTGTTTGTTTGACTTTGTTTATTTTATAAAATAACTGATAATATGTACTATAAAGAAAAAAAAATATAATCGAGTATGACCTTTGAAATTAAATTACTAATAGATAATATATGTAATTTATTATTGTGCAACGTATAAAGTTATTTTTAAGTGGTGTACTGTTATATTTTTACACAAAAATACATAGCTTATAGTGTTACGCTATGCTCAGTCATTCAGGTCCGTATGGAATTGGGAACTCCCACTCTAACATGATGTTATCGAACTCGAATATAAAGTAAATACAAATGCTTAAGTATCATTCGTTGGGCAAACTGTATCAAAATACAACCAAAATTTATTTGATGTAACAATGGATTTTTTTCAATTAATGCAATAAATGCTAAATTTTTCGTATTTCATATTAGGCATGGCAATGGGGCGGGTTTTGTTCAATTGATGCCCCGACCCCGGTTTGAGTAACATCCCCCGTCCCCGGTTCCCAGCCCCGGGACCCGTTTGGGTCAGGTGAACGGGGTTCCTCACCGGGTCGGGACGAATCACCATCCCTATTTCATACCCATTTTACATAGTAAATGAGTTTTCAACATGTGGCATCACTGAAATATGATTACTTTTTTTCATTTAATAAAGAATTACAGTATAAATTATCATTTTGGTCCTTTGTAGTTATAAAATCCTACCATTTACCAATCAAAATGGTTATGACAAAAAAATCAAGTGAGTGTTGCATTAAATAAGAAAATATATAATTATTATACTAGACTCCATTCGATGTGATGTCGAAGATGCGGATTGGAGGTTAAATCTTTAGATCATTGTTTTGCAACATGTTCTAATCTCTTGCAGGTATGAAAAAAGCTTTCGGTGATGATGCGGAATGGCTTTGCCGTCCCCATTGATGCTCAACAACAATTTTTTTGGAAATTCCTAATTGGGTAACCCCGTCTTGTTGCATGGAAACTACAATCTGGATTGCCCTTTTTGTAATTTGAAGAAATCGAAACAAACTAGTCTTCTATGTTGGTAACCAATATCGTAATCATTCATACATAGTTTCTGACATCCAATTGCCGTCGCTTTTTTATGCTTCGTCACAGTCAAGACTTAAAATACCTTAATATCTCATGACTTCATAAGAAATCAAATTATGATGGTTATGAATATATCTTCACTGGCTTCACAAATTTACAATTTCCCATTTTGTTTTATCTTATTTGATTGGTTTTATGAGTCTCGTTTAATTTATGCATCTTGCAGAATCTAATACATAGGAATGCTAAAAAACCTGACCAACCTGATCAATCAAACCCAGACCCGAAATAACTCAACCCGAAGCAATTCGATGTCTAATTGAGTTGTAAAATTTTCAAACCGTAGGTATTGGGTTGATATTGGGTTGCTGTTATTTGAACCCAACCTAACCCGATAAACCTGATATCCATTTATTTTTTGAATTTAATATGATTGTTGAATTTATATTAATATATACACTAGCCAATTACCTTATAACGTACGTTATTCATATACATATCTTTTCAATCTATTCACATCTCTATATAACTCATTCGTATATATGTTAAATAACTGTAAACATATATATGTAAATTGAGAAAATTAACTGAATGTGATATGCGTAAGAAGTATGGATAAGTTGTATCAAATGGTTGATGATGAAAAATAAATTATGAGTAGAGAAATAACATGTTCAAGGTTAGAAGAATATTTTAATGTACCAAAGTATCAATCCGACTAACTCGACCAACCCGTATGGTTTTGGTTGGGTTAAGATTTTTCAAATCGCAAACATTGGGTTGAGTTGTTAAAATGTTTTCAACCCAATCCGTGAGCACCCCTACTAATACATATCGTTTGCATTTAATAAAAAAAATTAAAAGTAAAAAAAAACTATTTTATAAACAAAATCCGCAAAAGTTATTGGGCCAAGGAATTGGCCCAATTAATTTTATTTTATTATAAGGCCCAATTCACTCAAACTGGTCAGTGGTCACGGGGCCGGCTGCAGATCGTTAGCTTACTCCACACAACTACACACAAGCACGATTGCCTGGAAAGAAAACTCATCGATCGAAGCTCTGTGGTTCAACGACTAAAACAAGATCTGCCGGAATCCGGTAGCAGAGTTGACTCGTTCGAGTTATCTTCACCACCATAACATGGCGGATCCGGCGTACTCTGCCCTCAGAAAAATGCTAGTGGACGAGATCACGCCGGTGGTCATGGTTCTCCCCACGCCTCTAGTCGAAGAACGATGCCAAAAAAATGGACTCTCATTTGTCCAAATGCTCAGTCCGTTTTGCGTATTCAACAATATTGACGGTGAAAACGCACTGACATGCACACTTTTACCTAATTTATTTCGTTTATATGCTTTAGGAAGCATGATGTTTCACGCACACGAACGTCGATGTTCAATTGTGTTGTGTCATTTTGTATAGCTTTTGGGGTTTCGTTAATGAAGGTGTTGGGTTAATATTACCTTGAACTCGATGTTGAACGATACTTTGGAGTTGAGTAAAGAACTAAAGAAGAGCATAAAAGATGTAATTAAGATTATCTGGATTGTGTTGGATGTTATGGCGTCTCTTGAATAATCTCGCTGTTTTACTTGAATTTTGTTTTTAGCATACCATGTAGTTCAGTTGAGATGTGAATTGGAAAACACAATTATTGTATCCATTAATAATGCGATGGACAACCTAGCCTTTGCACTCCTAGGAGGTCAGAGAGGTTCAAACCTCATCGTGTGTATTTGTTGCATTTGCCATATATAAATATTATATACTTTAAAAATAAAATAATGCAATGGACAGAACTTAAAATGTAGAACAATTGGTTTGCAGGTACTAGGAATTGGGAATCTTAAATTTTGAGAAAAAACCAATTAAGCTAACTAAAAGATTGCGCAACATGTTAAATGTTGGCTTTCTTTTTCGTCTCATGGGGGTGTATTTTTAGATGTCTTTGGGGTCATATATATGTTCATTTTCTTTCCCTTCAGATTTGACCTGCTCCTTTTCATTAGTGATTGGAAAGAACTGTTTTATCATGGATTAGGTGCCACTGTCCTTAGTTTGTACACTTTGTTGTTTTGCAGTCCCTGTTCGAACGGCCAGTGACCAACCCTACAGGCTCCAGAAGTTCAAGTTACGAATGTTCTATGCATCAGATGTTCGGCAACCAAATGTTGAGGTATAAATTTGTCTGCTTGCATTTCCAAAACATTCACCTGATGCTACAAGGTAGCAAGTGGAATCATATCTTTGGCCAACTCTTGCATTCATTTGACAAGTAAATTTGGATCAAGTTTGTGTTTAAGTTGGTGATTGTAATCAGACTAATAGAGGCTTGCATAGGGTTCAAACTATGTCCAATTTGACCATTATAAAGAATTATCCTTTGAGCATCTGTTTTGAAATATTAAGATTATCATCAGTAGTCCAACTTCATTGAACATCTTGGAAAATACCTAAGTGTGTAATATTATTAGTTATACATATAATTATATGCTTTATATTTGCTGATCTTTTTGTTTATTCTTATATCTCTAAATATCCAATACACATATAGCACCGAGATTGAAGTACCCCACTTCTTTCTTTCTTCTTCTTCTTCTTCATGTTATTGCCCCCTTAGCGAGTTATCTTTCTACAATAAAAGCTCTCCTACACATCGTTGTTCGTTACAATATCCTAGCATTCTTTTCACTACTTAGGTGATTCTAGTGAGACAGGCTGGAATATTGTTCTTTTGTCTGGAACCTTCTAGCGGTCCTTTCTGAGAAATGTTTTTTTCACTCAAGTAGGTGACGAAGGAGCGGTTAAAGCAGGTTATTACTGATGCAGGAAACAATGAAGATTCTGACTTCAACTTAGATCTTTCACCTGTTGAAACTATACCCACTTGTAAGTTCTTTGTTGTCCTAATTATGCTGTGTGTATTTTTACAGACAGTTCATATTCTGCAGAGGGGATAGTTCTTTTTTCTGATGTTGTATATCGTAATTGGCTGTATGCACTTGTTATATACTTCCTCCGTCCCAAAATAGATGTTCACAATGAAAAGACACGCAAATGTGTAATTATTACACAATTTAACTAATTAAATGTCAATTTTAATCTTAATAATGGAGAGTAATGAATTTCTCTTTCTCACAAATTAAGGGTAGAATTGGAAAATAAACACTTACAAAGTGGACACTTATTTTGGGACAAACAAAAATAGAAATGTGCACACTTATTTTGTGATGGAGGGAGTATATACGTACGTCGTATATATATGTATGTATGTATACAGTTTGCAGAGCACTTTCCCTTTCTTTTCTCGCTGTCCCTGCTGCTTGCTGTTTTCATTTCATATGATGAGGTTTTGCTTTATGATGGTGGGATGGGAGAGGAGTATATGTAAGTCATAGGCAAAAAAAGGTTTTGTGCTTGTTAGGTACATACTTAGGGTAGGTGAAGATGGAAACAATCTTGTGCCTGTTTCTGGTTTTCTTGTGGAACTTGGTAGAACCAAGAACCATTTGTCTACCATCTAGATCAGTAGATAGTAGAGGAAATATTAAAAAAAAAGCTAAGTGCTGGCTACTACGGCAAGCTTTAAACATTTACTCACATGCTTCCCTGTTTCCTATAATCCGTGTCTTTGTACTTTACAACAAACCAGATACAAATAGAAGGTTCCTTCACCTAGGTAGACCATGTTTCTTGTCCTGCCACTCTATCTTCCCCCCTCAGATATCAGAAGAACAATGGTATTTCTTTTAACAGGCAATTCCGCAATTTGTGTTTCTACATGTCTAACTATAGATTTTTTTTTTTCAGATATAGGTTTGAGTTGAACTTTTTGGCATCCTCTTAGACTGGATTGTAGCTTACATAACAGGAAATATTATTGAGTTTGTACTGCTGGCTGCATGCATGAAAGTGACATTTGCTAAAAGTCAAAGATGTTTGTTGCTGTTGGAATGCAATGAGCTAAATTAGTATTACCAATTTGAGCAAATCATGCTTAAACTTTATATTTGACATTTTAAATTATTTATTTACTTGCCACTGCAGCTTCTCAACCTGAATTTGTACCAACATGGTTCCAATTTTTCAATAAAGAGCTTGTATGCAGTGTGTCCTTCTCAGACCATGAAGCCTTTGATCATCCTGTTGCATGTAAGTGTTTAGAGTGCATTTTTGTCTTGCTTCTACTGCCCTATATTCCTTTGACATAGGACACACATACAGATACAAATGTCCACACACACACTGTTGCTTTCTGTCCAAATTATAGGGTTCATATTATAATGAATGTGCAGGCCTTTTGGTTGTTTCCTCAAATGATGAGGATCCTATCAAGAAGTTTGTGGATCTTTTTAACACAAACCAGTTGCCCCCGCTTCTTAATGATGGTGCAATGGATCCAAAGATTCCGAAATATTTTATTTTGGTTCACGATAACCAAGATGGATCCTCGGAGAGGTTTGTTCACTCCTTGATATCAATTTTTACTATGATGTAGAAAGAAAAGGAAAAGACTATTTATGTGAATTTCATCATGCAAAATAGGTCAGTCGAGCTGGTAGTTGAAATTTGAATATATAATCAGAGTTTCTCCAATGAGGAACACATATTAGAGAAGATGGCACATCTATTAGAAAGGACTTCGACTGCAGGCTATATGACAATAAGTTATATAAGCATTGAATAGTGGCATAGTCATATCAGGATTGTGTTTAGAATAGACTCACCTTTGCCTTTGACCCTTCAAAGCATGGGGAGATCAAGTGAGTCATATGATTTAGGACCATTAGGTTTAATCAATTATTTACTGCAAATGGACATGAATCATTATAGAAGTTACTTTAGTTATCCTTTGCTTGGTATCCCTTTACAGCTTTCCCTTCTGTTGAATCTTCATTAATACATCTATCAAATGACATAATTGCTGTTTCTTTTTATTGCATGTGTTTCAGAGCAACTAAGCTATTGGCAGAAATGAGAAATACATTTGGGTCAAACGAATGTCGTTTACTATGCTTCAACTCCTCCGAGGATGGGTTAGTTGATCATCAACCGAATCCATGGGATCCTTATGTAAGTGCATTTCTGATGATGCTACTTGTTTTGTCTTCTTGTAGATGTAGAGTTTGGGATTTTGTCGTAATATGGGGCTATGAATGACTTGAATTCTTTGACAGGCGTCTGTTGCTTCACCTGGTCAGCATCTTGGCCGTTTACTTAACAAGGATGATATAGATGAGGTTCTTTCTTACAAACGTGTATCTTGATATGCTGAGAAAGTTCTTTCCAGGATAAAAACCAATATAGTTCAAGGCTTTATGTCTATTCATAAAATAAAACTAACATTATCTCAATTACAACAGTTGAAGGATTTTGTTCGTGATCTATCGTCGAAAGATATTATTCCTAATATGGAGCAAAGAATCCGTGTTCTAAATCAGCAGGTTATTTTTATTTTCTACATTTTCCACTTAGATCCTAAGAGCAACTTACATCTTACGCATAGACCAATTCTATTCTTAATTCCCAACCTGGCTAATCTTACTTCTGTTCCGATATTGTTATAGGTCTCTGCAACAAGAAAAGGTTTTAGAAACCAGATAAAGAATTTATGGTGGAGAAAAGGAAAAGACGACACTCCTGAGAATCAAAGTGTTAACATGTATGTTCTGCTAGCATGTTTTATCTTTAACAGTATAAAATGCTCTCTGTTCTAATTAGGTTTTTCTGATGATGTTTGAAGGTACACTTTTAGCTCCATTGAATCTCAAATAAGGGTTTTGGGTGATTATGCGTTCATGTTACGAGATTATGAACTTGCTTTGTCAAACTACCGCCTGCTATCCACCGATTACAAGCTTGACAAAGCATGGAAACGATATGCTGGTGTACAGGTGGCTTTACCCCTTTAAATTTTGTTGTTGTCTATGTGCCTGTTTGGGTTTTCTAGAAACGACACTTTGCTCCTAAAATATGCGCTCATCAGTATTTTCCGAAAAGCATAATGGTTTAGCTAATCTTTTTCTGAAAAGCAGTTATAAAAGGAAAGCAGCGGTTGGTTGAAAATGTAACTGTTTTAAATGTGAATTTAACCAAACGAGTATGGCTTATTTTGATGTGAATGGATTCTTTGACTTTGTTATATGTATACCTTCAGGTATTATGTCACAGGTAAACCTGTAAACAAAAAGTAATGCATTTAAATTAAAATTGATATTTTTCAAAGATAAAAGAATGGGACCTGAGCTGATATAAATCCATGATCTCTAATCAATTTCACAACAGAGAAAAAAAATACCAGGTAAGTTGTTATCCATAATTTGGGATTTTGAACATAATAGTTAGTTATAGCATTATTGATCCCATAATTTAAAGTTAAAAACAATATGAAACAGTAGTGAATTAACAGAATTGTTATAGTAGTGTAGTGAGTTAAATGTATTGTACACGTGCTAGAATGTGAATGGTGTTAGGTGAGTTTGTTACATTGACTTGCTATAAAAGAAATATAATTATAATCGGAGAGTAGTGTGGATTGGATAATTGGTTTGGTCAAGCATGATTTTCAATATGCACTGAGCATAAGCATCAGTTTTAAATCTTCTGCTTTTTGCCTCGTTGGCTTATCAGCCGTTTTGGGAAGCTTCTGTTCAATTACCAAATACCTAAAGGCTTTTTGAAGGCGCTTAAAAGCAGGTTTTGGTTCTTATTCAGAAAGGGCTTCGTGTGTTCCCCATTCGGTGAGGACTTAGGTTAGACAGCATTTATGGGTCTCTCTTGGACAATAAACTTAGTGGTTTTTGTCTTTCTATTTTAGTAAATTTTGCTGCATATGTACTAGTTTGCCAGTCATATAATTTCTTATGATTTATCATCCACCTTCTGGTGCATCATATAACCTATGATTGCTTGCATCCGTTCTCCTTCTTTTCCCCTGATTGCAGGAAATGATGGGATTGACGTACTTCATGTTGAATCAATCAAAAAAGGATGCTGAGTATTGCATGGAAAATGCCTTTAGCACATATTTAGTATGTCTACTAATTCTTTACAACTAATTTTTGGAATTTACTGCAGTATGTATAACATTTGTTACCACGAGTATATCTTGTTCAAGTCCCATTTGTTTAACAGAGTAGTGATAAACAAATGGTAATTTAGTGCTAAGTACAGACAGCAGTTAGCATACGTGTAGAATTGCATCTGAAATAGGATATTTTACAAAAAAAGTATGTATGTGACAAAAGATTTATGCTGCAAGCTTTCTGTAAAGAATTTGCTGGCATATTCTGACCATGGTGTTGAGTATTTGCGTAGCTTTTCGCAAGCACTTAATCCCAGCATTCATCATTCTACATCTGTTGAATTCTCTTCTATAGCATGTATCTTTGGTAAACTCATAGATTATGTCCTTGATGCTAGGATAAGAAAGAAACTGAACCGCAAGCTATATTAAAACTTCTCATTGGGAAGTGCCCTTGAAAATGAAGTCAAGAAAGTGTCAGCTTTTTTACATTTTTCATGTGTATGCCTTCAGAAGATCCTAGCATTCCCTGTCATCGGAATAGGTCTGGCATAGTATCTGCTTCCCATTGCTTTTAGATCTTGTTCTTTAGGTAGGAAGATGATTGTGGAACCTTAATCAGAAGAGCTTTTTTTGTTTTGCTTGCTTATTTATTACAGAAATATGCAAGAAACAAAGTTGTTGAACTAATTGTTGATGTAAGGCTCTTGACCATGAAGGATTGCAATAATCTTAAACCATTCATCTTCAGCTTATAGTTAACCATTTCCGTGAATTAACATATAGTTTAGTAATGTCAGAAAAATTTATAAGAGGGAAAGGTATTGGTGGAAATGAGCACATGTTGCAATCTTTGGTTGTTGTTGGTACCTTTTTATTTAATAAATGCATTTTCTGTTATTTACGAAGTGCACTCTTATTCAGCGTATTGGGACATCAGGCAAGGGAAATGCTACACGCTGTGGTCTTTGGTGGGTTGAAATGTTGAAGGCTAGCGGTCAGTATAAAGAGGCTGCTGGTGTTTACTTCCGTATCTCTGGTGAGGTAATGATCAATTCTCTTTTGTGGATACACGTAGGATAAATGTGCCTTTCTTCAAAACTGTATTTTCTGTGCAGGAACCTCTTCACTCAGCTGTGATGCTTGAGCAAGCATCTTACTGCTACCTGCTAGCCAAACCACCCATGTTGCGGAAGTATGGATTTCATCTCATTCTTTCTGGTGATCTGTACCAGAAGTGCGATCAGGTACTGTCAGTGATGAAATAGCTTTCTTAAGAAAGAGCAAGTTATACAGTTTTGATCATAAAAAGTAAACAAAGATTCCAGACTTACATAGTGAAAGACTAAGGTAAAAAGGAGCCATATAAGTGAATATGGTGAAATAGAAAGCTTTGTAGGCAATGAAAGTTCAACCAAGTCTGAGGGCTCAGGTTTGTTTTTTTTCTTTTGCTACTTCTTATTGAAGTAGCAGGTCTCATATTTGCCAAAGTTTTAGAAAAACTGATTATTTCATGATCTTTTTATGAGTATCATTAGATTTATCTGAAAATTCAGGAAGTGTAAAAGCTTTTTCAACTGTATAGTTGTTTCTATTAGGAGAGAGAATTGTGTTGGAATTTTTTTATGTTTATTGCGTCAGGCGAAAGGTTCTCCCTGGGTGACAATAGAAATCTTAGAATAGATAAAAGAATTTGAATGGTATCACAGCCTTATGTCAGAACTTGGCACAACGCAGGAGAGTACACCCAGTTTCTGCCAGCCACATCATTTGGTTCAAGTCTGGTCTATTCCCTTGTATTCTTTCCAAGGCTTTGTTTTTTGTTTCCAGTTACCATCATTACCACTCGTCATTTTGGTGCATGGAATTGACCATAAGCCAGGCACCACACTATATCGTTTTTTTAGGTCGTAATCCAAATTGCTCAATCCGCAAAGTCAGCCTGGCACCTTTTTACAAATCCTTACGCTTCACAGATGTCTTGTAAATTCTTATGCCATCCAAGGCAGCCTCCCAATTCCATCATCTGGTGTTGTGCTTGGCCGTCCAGTTCCGTCTAATCCAGTTCTGTCACTCTTTTTTCTTCTCGATTCTTGACCTGATCAGATTCTGAGACTGTCAACACTGTATTTCAGTCTGAAGTGTTTGGATGGAGTAATTCTGCACCTTATTTTCCTGTTGAAGCCGTGTGTTGTTTTGCAGCTTCAGTCAGAGTAGTTTTTCAATGGTCCTACTGGTTTCTGATTTTTTAATTAGGAAGATGCTGGATTGAAGTAGAAATGGAGGAGTCATTAGATCCAGCAGGGTTACTGTGCCTAACACTATGCATGTTGTTCATAGCTTTCCCTGTTCTAGTTCAGCACCTGTTGGTCCTATAGTGGCTCTTCAAGCCAGATCCAGGTTTCAGACCATGCTTTATGTAACACCCCAGAATCACATTTGCATATAAACATATATTTCCATATATCAAGAAGTATAATTTACACAACTGGTCCCACTATTTACAAAAGCTACATTACAAAGTAGCTACCAAATTTTTCCACCAAATCTCTATACAAAACTTGTATACATAACAAGTATTCAAAAAACAATAGATAACATGTTATCCTAACATCCCAAGCAGGTAAACATAACTCTTTTCAATTTTCCTTTCCCCTTATCCTCTGGTTGTGCCTGACCGGTAATGCACATTTTCAAGACACCAAAAATGAGGGTTAGACCTTGAGATCTAGTGAGAAATCCCTTTGTTGGGTATTACGTGGTGAATAATCACCAAATCACATTCACAAACTCATATTTGAATTAATAACAAATATACAACATTTTGATATAACAAACCTCTTTTGTCACATCTAAAAGATGAGACATCACTAATTTATCGCATCAAATAACCCAAAAACTCATTTAACACAATTTGGGTATAATTCATCGCATCATACAAGTAAAAACGTAATTTCCTCGCATCACATGGGTGGGACAACCCATCTCCTTGCAATACACTGGTGCGAGGACCTCATCTCATCGCATCACACTGGTGCAATAAACCCAACTTGTCACATCACACTGGTGCGATAAGTTAACTTGTTGCACCACAAGGATGCGACAAACATACTCCTCGGATAACCGACTTTCATCGCATCAATAGGATGCGATAACTTTAAGTCATCACATCACATAGATGCGACAACTCCAAATCATCGCATCATAAGGATGCGATACCAGAAAACACTTTGATCAAAACCCAAGTTTTATATTCCAATGATTATGCCACCCTTATCCTGGTATACACCTTTCCTTGATATGCCATTCTTATCCCAGTATACACCTCTCCTTGATATGCCACCCTTATAACTAAAATACACCTCTCCTTGATATGCCACCCTTATAACCAAAATACACCTCTCCTTGATATGCCACNAAAATACACCTCTCCTTGATATGCCACCCTTATAACCAAAATACACCTCTCCTTGATATGCCACTCTTATTTCAAACACATGATATAACATATCAAAATCACACATTTATGTTGATTATAGCATCCAAAAACAGTTTTATAATCATCCCCATATGAAGAACCATACGGTTCTAATTCTAATTACCAAATAAGGAAAGTTTGTAAAAATAAACTCACCTTATAATTCACGTAGATGATATGAAGACGAAATAGCAACAAATATCCAAGAATAATCACATAATCGATTCTACAAGCTTTCCTTCTTCGGTTTCTGTTTTTCTCGGCTCCAAACTCATACACAGAAACTTCTTTTCTTTTTACTTCAAAACTCACCATCCCAATGAGATAATAGGATTATCTCATAAAAATGCATATAAAATCAAGAAGGTGGTGGAAGAGTTTAAAATTACTTTAAGCATAAAAACACAACAAACCCCTCAACCTTCCACCTTAATTCAAAAAAACCCTGAATTTTATAACCGAATACCCGGTTATCACACCTTACTGGCACACCAATTATATTCTAAAAATACTTACCGTAACTGCATTCTCGAGAAGGAGTTTCATATGGAGCGACCTTTTTAACCCTGTCACAGTTTCACATACAGATTTCATTTTGGAAAAATAATAGGATAACCTGAAGGAACCATCAGATGATCCCGGGATGAGGAACCATTTAGTCACAAGGTGGAGAAATCAAAACCTGTTGCTTCATTTTTATTTTCTGGTCTTCTGTTCTGTTTCCATGGTTCTCGGTAATTTTTTATATTTGGAAACTTCGTATAGTTGGTAATGATAGATATTCTCAAACTTAAGGAGTGTTGAACTTGTGGAGTAGCAATATGTTATAATTAAGGTTATATCATGTTTAACATATCCAGAGTTCTCCCCCATAATGACAAATTTTAAGAGGTATAGACATATACAATTCTCAGTTCTGCCTTTGGAGTGAACTTGCTATCCAGGTCATTGACCTGATCTCACTTACTTTTAAAATGAATAGCATTTTCTATCATTACTTTTTCAAAATGTTGACATGGACTGCAAATGCTTGAAGTCTGAATGTTACCTAAAAAGCATATATACATATCTGCTGAAAGTGAATGTGACACACCGTCCCCAAATTGGACACATGGTTATGTTTAAAAACTTTACCCATCATGAGCACCTGCACCATCCATCCTCGGAACTCAAATGGAACAGCAGAAGACATAAAAATAGGAAAATAACAGTTACTAATTCATCATCTTCAACCCGGTCCAGCCTCTTATTACTGAGAGGTAAAACGTTCCATTGACTTTGTAATTCGGTTCAAATTACTTGATACTTTCTCTGTTTCTTTTTTACTTTTTAGGTTTCCCTTTTGACATTTATATGTGAAACCTCTTCAATTTGAAAAGTAGCAGGCAATGAATCCTTTTACATTTTTTTGTCACAAAGCTTTTCTATTTGCAATAAGTTTTGTACACTCTAATGCAGCTATCAATCGTTATTACACAATTAGATATGTCCGTATCGAATTGAAGTTATAGAGTAGTTTGTTTGATACCAAGAGGAGACACCCAGAACCAAATGAGCGTTTAATGTTTGCATGGTTTATTTTCTTCTAATGAGCTCTGCCTTCTTGTATCAGATAAAACATGCAATTCGTGCATACAGAAATGCCCTCTCTGTATTTAAAGGAACAACATGGAGCCGAATTCGTGATCATGTCCATTTCCATATAGGAAAGTAAGTTCTAAGGGGTCTGGCAAGTTGTATCGTGATGGGATTATTGGAGTTTGATATATGCCGAAATTGTTGACGATACCTTCTTTTGACACAGGTGGTATGCTTTTCTTGGAAAGTTTGATGTGGCAATGAAACATATGTTGGAAATTGTGGCTTGTAGCCATCAATCAAAGCAAATGCAGGAGTTGTTTATGAAGGACTTTTTCCAGATTCTACAGGTTATTATTGTTAATTTTATTCTTGTATTCTTTTCTCGTATCGGATGCAAGTGAAGTTTATTGAATTTTCTTACTGCTTGTCATGCATGAATGTCATCCAAAACATATGGTTACTGATACAACACATCTGTCATGGCCATTTATCTTTACTAGCTTATGCGAAAGTAAATTATGCTTCCATAGAGCGTTGGCAGTTTCATATGGTTAATCTTATTTAGTTCAATGAAGGCCATCCTCTTTAGTTAGTTGGGGTTCTATGTGGAAACGTAAAGATGTATTCACTTTTATAGTTTTACTGCTGTCTTAAACACATGGCTCTTGTTCCTTCCCCTATCATTTTCATTATTCCATTGTCCACTAGTTCCATTTAGGCTAAAGTTTATTGGCAAATGCTGATGGAAAAGGATTTTCTTAGGTCACAGTCAATCTCAGACCCAAGTTAAGATTTGTTCTTGAAAAATATTCAGGAACTAGACAAATCAGAACAGTCCTGCTAGTTATGAAATGGTGATTTGTTAATTTCTTGCTGTTTCATCAACCTAAAGAGAATATAGGAAGGTTTGATAATGTGGAACTATAGATCCCTGCTTTTCCCCATGTGTATCATTTGTATGGAATATCTAGCTAGACATGTTTACTAGCATCACGTTGGGTTCTTTTATCTTCTCATTGAAAGTTGATGAATGATGATGCAAGTCTCAAGTGCTGCAGCTATCGGCTTGTTCTAGTTAAATGTTTTTTAATGTTTCTGATAACAATGAATATATCCTTGCTCTAAAGCTTAGATTCACTCTGGTTTTTCTCAACACCTTGGTACTGAGATTTTACTGAAATTTTTTCGTTTGGTATTTTGCGACATAGTCTAGTTGAGATCTTTCTCTTCATTATGTAAGTGTGCTAGTTTAGGCTTCTTAAGCATATATGTTTGTAAGCATAGTCAATTATATTTTTCTCATTTAACCATGCAATTAAACAGTTATCCAAAGTTTAATAGTTTTTCTGTTCCTCTGTTACAATTGATGTAGAGAACAGGCAAACCATACAAAATATCCCGACTGCAGTTGCCAATTGTCATTATCTCTTCACTCAATATTGTTTCTGAAGACCATCGTACTTATGGATCATCTGCTGCTGTAAGTTGATTCCTCTCTCTCATTCTCTCAAACGTTGGAATTACTTTCCATAACTATGTCATCATTACAATTTGATACCTCGTTTACTTGTTTGGGAATGGTGCCTTTTAATAGGCTGGGTGAATGAATTACATAAACAATAAACTGTAATATAGAAGACTGATCGACTTTTGTAATCTTTGTACTTGACACTAGCTTTCAGAACAACCATTGTACTCACAAAATCCCAAAAACATTGTACTTGAAAAAGGAACTTTGTTGCATCTTTTAACCTGAGTTGATGCATTTGACTCAACTTGCTGATGAGGCAATTTAAAAATTAAAACAAATGAGTGGTGGACTTTATTGACCATTGTATTCGGCACTTGGTTCCGGTGAAAACCAGACGGTCCCATTAAATCCCACATGGAGTAGGGTCCAGGCATGCTAAGATGCATGCATATCTTTCCTCTACCCCAAGGAGTAGAAAAGTCGTTTCCATGAATACCCATGTTTGTTAATGAACACTTTTGCACAAGTTCTGTATAAAACTTCCCTTTCTGTTTTTCCATTGAAATGATTTTACTTTTTTTTTACTAATAATTAATTTATTTTCTTAAAATATTTAAGAAAAAATAAAAATGATATTCATGTTAATATATATATTGATAAAGATTGAAGTGTGAATTGTTCAAAATGATGATATCTGGAAATCAAGTTATAGTAATCCACCAGAACTCATAGCTTGCTTGTTTAATGAAACAAAATTTGATTTTCAAAATGTTGTATTCTATTATCTTTTTAAATGCAATTATCATTTTTACAATGAAAAGCAGGTTTTCTTGTGTTCAAATATTGGAAATAACTCATTTTGTTGGTTCTTAAATATTTGATTCATATTATAATATTTGATTATTAGGAAGAAAAAAACATTTGTTCTTTTGAAAAAGATTGTGATTATTATAAAACGTTCTGAATTATAGGAAGTGGTTATAATATTTTATGAGATGCATTAAAGCTTTGAAAAATAGTTCAAGCACTAATTTCAGCATTGTAAACAGGAGGTGGAAATTTTTTAAAGTTTTGGGGGGCAAAGATGTTCACCATTTTGAAATAGGTTGTTTTTGTTTAATTTTTTTTGGTAATATAATGTGTTATTCTGAAATGAAGTGCCAAAAACAATGATTATACAAGTAATTATGTGTATTTAATTGGCCAAAAAAAGTTAATGTAACTGCATTAAGTCAGTTAAGAATATTTGTCCAAAAAGTTAACCTTTTTGAAGTACATTGCCTTTTTAGGATGTTGGCAAGTTCAATGGTTGTTTTAATTTTTGAAAGCTAGTGCTGACTACGGTGGGAACAAAAGTCAATCACTTCATGTGTATTATAGTCCAAACTTGGTAGTTATGGATGGTTTCACCGCTCTTCCCAGTAGAACTATGGTGATGATCTTCAACAAATTTCCATGCCTTTATGGTATCTAATCTTAATATTTCTTTCTTCGGGCTGGTAGCCAGGACGGCTTCGGGGAAGTGATTTTATAGTTAAGTTGGTATTTTTGTTTTGCTGATGACTTTCAGTTGAATTGTTTTTCCATGGTTGTTCTTCATGCCAGGTCAGTGTTAAAGAAAGTGTTTGGCAGTCTTTGGAAGAGGAGATGGTTCCATCATTTACTAATGCCAAGACTACGTGGTTGGATGTGCAGTCAAAGCTTCTACCAAACAAACTTAAACAATCAAATGTCTGTGTGGCAGGAGGTATGAAGGTGATGGTACTTTATAGTTGTAAAATATGGTTGAAAGTCTCTTGTGGTGGGACCATTTACCCTAACAGATTGGTATTTGTGGGTCCTTTTGGAGGCATTTGAGTATAATGGCATGGCCTAGTGGCTTACTGACATTTTAAAGAAGTTAGCTAAGTTATTTTGCTACTCATGTGCTTTTTAATGATCCTTAAGAACATGTTTGCCTTATTACCACACCAAATCAACATCTTTGGGTTCCTTTTCTGTGTCCTCCAAAAAGGATATATATTAACCCCATCTATATATGCAAGTCATGAACTGTTTTTTCGTGATATAACCAAGTTTCTCTCTCTCCTCCATGCATTCCAATTTACTGCCCTTCCACACCTGTGAGGGAATTATATTAACTTATTCCTTCCATCATTCTTTAAAATGTCTCTTCATCAGCCATAACTATCAGACCATTCTGGCACCAATTGTGACCATAAACATCAAAGTAGACGTTGGTGGTTTCTTAAATTTTTGTAACACAGGAAATATGTTAGTTATCTATCATGAATCACTTCTAGTTGTAAGTTTTGTTGTTCCTAAACGTAAACTGTAGATAAGGAAAATAATGTAATAAACTTATGGACAATAATTCATGTAACATAATGATGGGCGCTTGCAAATATATTGAGATAAGCGACTGGTAATACTCTTTGTATCTCAAAGTTACAAGTGCACATTCATTATCTGAGTTGAAATGGCGACATTCCCTTTTCACCTCAATAAGTTCGCAGTGTTTCTAAAGTTATGTTCAACTTTGGAGATTGTTGTTTCTTATCTTTTACGTATGTGTATTCTAACATTAATACTTCTTTTACTTGCAGAAGCACTTAAGGTGGAAATTGCATTCAAAAACCCCCTCCAACTCTATATCCCCATTTCAAATGTTACTCTAATGTGTGAGCATTCACCAAGTGAGACACTACCTGGTATGTTCAATTTTTTTTTGTTCACTAGACTTTTTCAATGATACTTCAATTACTTTCTTCTGCTTTCTCTCTCTCTCTTTCCCCTAAAATATTCTCCGATATTAGGATTTAACATATATGTTCTCCAAAAATTGATGATTATTTCACTGAATCAGATGCAAACAGCTCATCTTCTGTAAATCAGAGTGTTGAAGATGGGAAAGTAGCAACTGGAAGGTATATTCATTTGTTTGCTTTTAAACATTCCCAGATAGAATTTTTTGTTGCAGTACTTACTGCGACATACTTCCTTTTATTAATTTTTTTTTTGCTGAAGGGTTTCATTTTTAACATACCTCAAGTAGTTTGTGGTACCTGCTTGTGTTACTTGATTGTTGAGAAACAGTTCTCTTTTGATTGCAGGGAGCTCAACTCAGGCACGTCTCTTTTTACATTATCTGAGGTTGACATAATGTTAGCAGGTGGTGAAACGACAGTGGTGAGTTGACATTTGTACAGTGGACCAACTTTGGGAGCTTTTCATTCTCATTTGATTTCTGCTATTTTAACTTTATTGGCCGTTTGATTGATGCTTATATATTATGCATGTGACTTTAGTAAAAAAAAATACTCAACTTCTAAGGTAATGGTGCTGCCGAGGTTGATTGGTAGGTTGGTAATATAATAGCTTTACTAGCCTTTATAGTTTAAGGCTTATGAGATTTTTAGTTCGTTAATCCAATTTTTAATACTGGCATTGAGAACATTTTGTCTCAAATATCAAAGTTGACCTGGAAGTACAATGACTCCATTTTTGTCAGGCGTTATTGCAAGATGAGGTGGTGGCTGCTTCCATCGCCTAGGCACACACCCATCATTATAATAAGGTGTATGGTAAGCGGCAAAACTATATGATAGACCTCAGTGGGATCAAGGAAAAAGAAGCTGAAGTACGAGTCAATTGGTTCTTGTATACACATGATTTGTGGTAATTTAAAATCAATGGGGTTGCCTAAAAATTCCTTTTAAATCGTTGTTTCGTGAAAGAAACATTGGAAATCCCTTATTGTTTGGTCCGTTAGGTGTTCAGATCCTCCCATGTCCTTACCATGGCCATAGGATTGCTGGTCAACATATTTTGCTTTCTTTTTTGACCATGATATGCTTTATCTAAACAATGCTTATTTTACATTCATCAGAACACCAGTTTCTGATTAACCTTTTTGTTAAATTCTTTATGCCAGTTATCTTCTATTTGCTTAATACATGTTATATCTTCCTTATTTTTAATTTCAGGTTCAGCTAACTGTTATTCCTAGAAAAGAAGGCCGACTAAAAGTAACTGGTGTGAGTTGGAAACTGTCTGATTTGATGGTTGGCTTTTACACTTTTGAGTCTGACATGGTGAAGAAAAGAATTTCTAAAGGAAGAAGGAAAGCTAAGCAGCACACTGATAAACTGGAGTTTTTGGTTATCAAGGTTCTTGCATTCTCTCTTTTTGAACTGGAACTTCATAGTTTTATCTCTCCATTCTTCGTTGGGGAGGTTTTTGTTAATCTCTGCATTGTTTTTCTTTGTTTCCACTTATGAAGGCATGTACTGTTTTTCTGATTTTGGCATTTTCTGTTCAGAGCCTACCCAGACTTGAGGGTTTTATTAACAACCTGCCCAGTACAGTTTATGCTGGAAATTTACAACATCTATCACTGGAACTGAGAAACTCGTCAGAGATTCCTGTTAAGGTATGCTGTAAAATTAGCAACAGAATTTACCTGGTTTCCATTAAAGTCTTATGAACAACCACATGTAGCATTTATATGTAAATTCTTTGAAGTGGTGCAATTAATTTTTTTATTAAAAATTAGAACGATGAAAATACCCAATACGAGCCACAGATATTCACATACCCACCAATGTGGACCTTTTCTGAAGCGCTTCATTTATGTCTTTGTACTTCCATTGATATGAATGCTTGAACTTCTAAGAAGCTATATGTTTCCTATAACATCTCAATATGTTGAATTAGGTGATTACATTCTTCAACTTATTTAAGACTTTAATGGTTTTTGCATCTGATGGCAGAATCTAAAGATGAAGATCAGTCATCCTAGATTTCTCAACATAGGAAATCCTGAAGTATTGGATGTGAATTTTCCTGCTTGCCTTGAGAAGGGAAAAACCTCTGCACATAAAGATGCAGATCTTGACACCACTAAACAATCAGAGACTGTATTCCGTTTCCCTGAGGTCAGTGAAGGTCAATTTGTTTCATGATTTTGCTGATCATTGATTTAATTTTGGTGGTGACTGCTAATCTACTTTCCCTTCTGTTTCCAGGATACAGTAATTCATAAGGAAACTCCCTTCTTTTTGCCTCTTTGGTTTCGGGCTGCTACTCCTGGGAATGTATCTTTGTATCTCACAGTATATTATGAGATTGATGACAAATCAACTGCCATGCGATATCGCACTTTGCGTACACATCATATGTTAGAGGTATCTCTTGAATACAAAAGAATTGGATTTGATTTCTGGTGTCACATGTGCACATACAAATACCATTAGATAATAAAATCCTGAAGGGCAAGTGATGAACAAGGGTCCTATTTGATACTCGCAGCAAATGATTACTAAATTTTATCTTTTGAATGTGATGTATACTTGCAACATATCATTTAGACAATCATATTTTTCTATTGATGTGTATATCCGATTCTCATGTTAATCATCTCTGGCAGGTGCTACCATCTTTGGACCTCTCATTCTATATCAACCCTTGCCCTACTAGGTTGCAAGAGTATATTGTGCGGATGGATGTTATTAACAGGACAGGTTCAAGGAGTTTAAAGCTTCATCAATTGTCATCTGTTGGGAATGAATGGCAGATCTCTTTGATTGAATCCATTAACGACATTTTCCCTTTGGGAAACTTGGTAGCTGGTCAGGCTCTTTCTTGCTTTCTTAAGCTCAAGGTGGGTGCCTCAGTTATATTAATTCATTGCAGATGTTCATTTCTTGCAAAAAAAAATGGACTTCCATGGTTATTCTACATGCATTAATGACGAGATTTCATGAAGAAAAAGAAACCATAACTAAAAACCTAATTCAACCTTAAGATTAGTGTCTATAGCCATGGATTCTCTAGTGTGAGTGGGTGATGACTAATGGGAGAGAGTAGGAATTGTGGAATTTTGTGTCAACCTTTAGAACCGTAAGGGTGAAGCAGTCCTTTTGCTTCAAGAAAGATCAAGTTCATGGATCATGGGACTAGGAGCAAGTATAATGTTTTTTTGTTCATCCCCACTAAACTTGGATCCAATTATGTTTCATATTTGTAAACTTTCATGTTGACGAAGATAATAGTTTGTTAAATATAAAAGTTCCTACACATTATGTTCTCTTAGAGGGGATGTAGTATCCGATCTATAAAACATGATGAATAGTTGCTTAAGGGTGTGATTTCACACACATGAAAGTTCCTCTAGGTGGATGTACAGGGTGGTGCGTGTGTGGGAAAACCTTTTTATTTTAAAAGATAGAATCAAACAACCATACATGCATCTTTTATGCATTGCATACTGCTCTACCACAAAATTGACCTTTACCTTCCACCAAAGAAAGAAAAAAAGGGATCGATCAGACCTGCTTCTTCCGTTTGAAGAAAGGAAGGATCCCAAAGAATCGATCTTTCTTTTAGTTGTTGAATCTCTGCTATGGGATAGTCTAATATGTAAATCTTTCAAAAAGTATTATCTTGGAAGATTTAACACATTGGTGTGTAAATCAAACACTTCAGGAAACAATCTCTCTAGTCCTATACCCTACATCCAGGTGGGATATACTGGGTGCGTTTAGTTTGTTTATGTAAATCAACACAAAGACGACCAGTTTTTTCGTGGACTTCTTATTTTTATGTTAAAAGAAGATCTAGGCATTATATTTATAGTTTCATACTTGCTTTTGAAAGCTTGAATTAGGACTTCAACCCACTCATTGGGTTAAAGTTCTGTATACATACATCATGTCGATGTGCATGCCTAGAGAGGAAAGGGTTGGTTTTTCATAGTCGCCTACAAGTACAACTTTTTTCTCTTTCCTATGTTAGCAACATACTTACTACCCTTTATTGCCTAATATATATATATATATATATATATATATATATAATATATGACATATCATGACTACTTGTTTTACCGGTTACAGAATGTGAAAATAACAGAAACTGCTACAGAAGAGACCTCTACTGCCAGAGGTGATGGAACAGATGTTTGGTTGGGTTATGGCAGCAGTGAAACAATTTTTGATACACGACGCTCTCCTCTTGTCAATTTCCACCATTATGAACGAGTGCATCAGAAAACATCACATCAGGTTGAATAATAATTTCTTCCCACAAATTCTAACATGTTATAAAGCAAATGATTCATGTTTCAGGATTCATTATGAAGTTTCTGCCACCACCTCTAGGCTTCTAAGTTCTAACTGATGACTGAACGTGGGCTGGTGACTGGTGAAAGAATGACTTGAATATTATTGTTGTCATTATTATTATTTTAGGGATTACGTGTTCATTAAAATGGAAATTTAAAATAAGTAATTAGCTATAAATCGTCTCACATTTGTCTGAAGTTAGGATTTAATCTTACTTTTACTAGATCAAATCTTAGACAGAATCTTGGTTCAGTTAGCGAACATTTAGCATGATGTACCCCATATCTGCTGAGAAAGGAAATCCGGCTGCTTCTTAGAGAAATTTAGAACACTTATTTTAGAAAAAGAGCGAACATCGAAGTCAATATCTGCTGAGAAAGGAAATCCGGCTGCTTCTTATTAGAGAAATATAGAACAACAAAAAGAATGAACACCGAGTAAATATCTTTATCCTGATTATTATCAGACTAGGGGGCTGTTTGGTTGGTTTCCCATTAAGTCCTGTATCGATAAAGCTGTCTCTGTGGAATCTGTTTGTATAGATTTATGATGTTTGTGTTTGGAAAGGAGCGTGTTTTTTAATTGGGAGGGCAGGTTTAGAAAAACTTTACTTTCTGCGTAAAGCTCCCATCTAGAAGCTTACCGAATAAGCCACCTTCTATATCATTAAGCCAATACCAAACAGTCATGTATAGCTGACCAAATAAGCTGCGAGTCCCATTAAGCTCTTCAAGCTGCTGACAAAGAGACACTAAAATGCATTATGTATGTATCAGGAACATCTAAACACAGTCGACTTCATGTTGATCTCCCAGATGGAGGAAGGCGAGAACAGTTCTTCTGAGCTCCCTACCACCCCACAAATCTTTTCGCACCATGCTTGCCATTGCAGGCAAGACCACTTAAATTCAAACTTATCCAAATTGAAACACATCACAATCGAACTTATCCAAATTGTCCATACTTTTACTACTGTTTTTGCAGTGTTTCAACCAAGAGACCAATATGGTGGTTACTGGACGGGCCTCGGATCGTTCACTACAACTTCTCTGATTCTTTCTGTGAAACAAAACTCAAGATGACGCTTCACAACTCGTCAGGTTTTGTTGCTTCTGTTCGTGTTAACACATTTGATTCCCCTCCCGGTAGCGCCCCATCCGGGAGCAAACTTGGTTGGCACGATATGTCCAGTCCACCTATCGACATTAGAGTTCCAGCACCAGATATATCTGGAAGCAGTACAGGAAAAGCAGTGTCGCTAGAGTCGGTTCCTCCTTTCATTTGGTCAGGATCGAGTACGACCCGCGTGAAACTTGAACCAAATTCCACGACCGAGATATCTCTACTGGTCACAACGTTTGCACCTGGGACCTACGATCTCTCCAACTACACGTTGCATTGGAATCTTGAAGAGTCGAGCAATGGCCGGGAAAGGGAAGGTACATGCCAAGGGCATCCATTTTACTTGACCATATTGCAAAAGGAATGAATGAGCATTTTATGGAGATGGTGTAGTGTACTAGTAATTCAGTGTAAAATTTGTTGTTTAAAATGTGTTTATAGAACAAAATAGAGAAAGAGTTGTGTTGAAAATGGAGGAATCACATGGGTATTATTTTTGTTCACAGGTTAATAAAAACAACAATGGAATGGTTCAAGTTTTTTGGTGTTTTATAATTTAATTATTAGCTCATGCCATTTTTACAAACAATCTTTTATTTGTAATCTTGGTATGCAGACAGGACAGGATTGGAGGAAGGTTTTAGGGTTTTTAAATTGATATCTAATTCTTACCTTTAAGTATGAAGAACTAAAACAACTATGGATCAAAAACAACAGGAACAAAAATAACATAAAATTTTTGATTAAAAAAACAGGAATAACTATAAATTGTAAGTCACAGAAATAATCGTAATTTCAAAATCGTATAAACGAAAGTAACAAATTTCATAAACTACAAGAACTAAAAACATAATTTACTCTAAATTCTATAATTAATTTGTAGTTTCTTGTCTCCCATAAGATGATGGCAATTGGCAATGTCATAATGTATGATATCGATGTGTTTGGACCTTTTGTTTTGAAATACAGGGAAAGGATGTTGAATAATACGTACCGACTATTTCACTTTGAATTGGATATTTTTAAATTATGTGTAAAATATCAAGCATCATTAATAACTAAAAGTTTATCCGTGTCATATGTTTTGAAGCTAAAGTTAAAAACTTGAACACTTGATTCTATTTCATTATTCGTATCCCGTAGGTAGTATTATAAGGCATTAGTTGGGATCAACACGTAATTTGTATTTATCAGTTAATTATCGGTTGATTATTATAGAGTCCAAAGTCAGAGCTTTTAAAAATTGTGTATATGCAAACTAAGCAATCGTAATGGTAAGCTTAAAATTTAAGAGATATAATAAACATATAGCAAATATTTTATAATATATTAATATAAATAAATAATCATATTAGTATATATATATATCTATACTATATTATAAAACATTTGGCCAAAACTCTTAAAACTCTTAAACTCTTAAAAACTCTTAAACCCGTTCATTTCTATCCGATTTCATCCCATATCTGAATTTGTATAACTAACTGCAGATAAACACAATCAAATACATGATAAACATCTTATTTTAAATATAAAAAATCTAAAATATAATTAAGATAATCATTGAGTTCTAACAGAATACTTAATTATTATCTTTATAAAATGTTATATTATTGAACCAAAAATAAATTATTTCATTATTAAACTTAAATTAATTTATACTATATTATAAAGCATTTGGCTAAAACTCATAAAAACACTTAAAACTCTTAAACTCGTTCATCCCTAAACGATTTCATCC